TAGGGATCGTCGGCAGCTGAGCTGCGTTGTGGCGCTCAGTGCTCACGTAATTGTGGGATATTGATTCTGGAACAACAAATTACGTCACATTAAACAACTAAAGACAAAATATTTGTTTCAATCGAACCAAAATTGTAACCAACAGTGAAGTCATAAATGGAAATAATTTCGACATATTATAGGGAGAACTAAGGAAAACAACACCTAATGAAGAAATCACCTGATTGTATTTGTTATAATATGAATTGAAGTAGAAATTCTTGATCAATGACCAACAACAAGGAAGAAAAATAATATTATTCCATTCATAGGTAAATAGTTTCAGCATGAGAAATCAACTAGTGTGGGAAAATGTTTTGATATAGTCTTTCCATAAACATTATTATTCTTCAGTACCCATTCATAAAAAACTTATTATAAGTACAGAAGATATTATGATTTATTCATTATCATCATTTCAGCCACAGGACGTCCACTGTTAAACATAGGCCACCCCCAATGCCTTCCACATAGGCCAGTTGGAAGCAACCAGCGATTTATTCAATCAAAAGATATTCAACATATTTACTTATTATTATTATTTATTACATAAGGCTATTCATTGTACTAAGAACTTATCTGTCAGTTATCTAATCTTATAGAATTTGAGGGTCCGTCCTAATCACTAACCTTAAGATAGGTAACTATGGCCACATAAACACATTTATCTATCAAGAAAAAGGAAGATTCTGGCTATCTTGTTGCTCAAGTGGGCCGTAAACGCGACTATTGAGCAAGATCGATTTCCTGGTGGGGCAAGTACCTATATTGGTATGTTCTGTTTTCCAAAAATTTTAAGTAGTAGTAGCCCTTAATAGTGGACTGTATAGTTTTTAATATTTATACTACTGCTTTCAGGAAATGAATATAGCATTCCTACTCCATAATGTTTAATGATAAGTGTGAGAGAGCCATGCTTCGGCATGAATGGGCCGACTCAACCGGAGCGATACCACGGCCTCACAGAAGACCGACGTGAAACAACGTTGTGTTGTATTTTGTCGTGTGAGTGAGGTTACCGAAGAACCAATAACACCCCCCACCTTTCCCCAATTCCTGAATCCCTAACAATCCTCAAATTCCTAATCCAGAAGGCCGGTAACACACTTGTAACGCCTCTGGTGTTCCAGGTATCCATGGGCGACGCCGATTGCTTACCATCAGGCGATCCGTCTGCTCGTTTACCGGGTTATACCATAAAAAAAAGCTTCAATGAGTCAAGCCACCTTCCCTTTCTACTCCCAAGTAAGGGAAAATTAAAAAAATAACTAAGTAAATGTTGTCCAAAAATTATTTGTCATTGTTAGGAAAACCACATTAATACATTTCCTTCATACTTTCTGAATTTATTTTGAAACTAGCAAGTACCTAAGCATATAATAGAAGATATTTTTTACTTCATATTTGTTAATTATGTTACTACACTGCCTCGTTGGCCGAGTGGTCGCAAGTGTCTCGGGTTCAAAAAAATCTCAGTAGTAGCACGGAGTCTGGAATTGTGCCCGGTATGTGGCAATAGGCTTACCCCTATTACATAGGACTCGTAACATAAATAGTGAAAAGTGGGTGTTACATTGTACAGTGGCAGTTCACCTCTGCTTACCCCTTCGAGGATAAAAGGCGTGATGTTATGTTACTATACAAATACATTTAAGATTACATCTACAGAAAATCATTCCTGGCAAATATTCCACTTATATTGGTCAACAAAACATTGATTTTGTTGGTAAAATATGATGACTACTTCTGCCGAGGAGATTGATGATGTCACACCTACTTATGACTTTCATTTAATAGTTAGGATCTAATAGCTGTAAGAATCCAGACTCTGTGCTACTAGACTGATAATTTTCCAAAAACTGAGAATCACATAATTCTGTAAAATGGGGTAAATAGAAGTCTAGGGGTAAAGAGATACGGGTTTGGGGTAAAACCTATGAAAAATTTCCTAATATCTATTCACTCCATTTTAACTCGTAATGATTTGAGTTTGAGACCCCAGTTGTAGCAACTTCAGTAGCACTTAGCATAACCGCGCGAATAACAAAACCCTATTAAAAATAATATAATAAGTAGGCTATACTAACCATTACTGCCATTACTCTCTAGAGATGAAGTCCCAGATGCCATAATATGTCTGAAATAAAAAAAAAACAATCATACTTTATTCAATGGTAGACATTCTAGAATTTTTCATTTCCTATTTGAATCTGGTTTGAGGGTAATAAAATAAAGATACAGAATAAAGGAACATTTAGTAGTGTTTTAAAAATTATTATTAGCTAGTGTTATATTTGATAGGTTGACGTTTGACCACCATCTCGTCTGGTAGTAAGCAATGATGTGACAACGATGGAACATGCCTACCTACAAGCAACCTGTTCACTCAGGACTTGAAGCCACTCAAGTTATATTTGTCAGGAAGCACAGATTCCGGCGAGGAATTCCATTCCTTGTTATTGTGTGTACTGTTATACATGGTATGTAATTTCAAGCAAGAAAACATGTCATAATTAAGCATTTGTCACTTGGTAGCGTGTGTATAAAAATGTTGCTCAAAATCAGAATGCTCATTTCAGGCATGCTTGCGTATCGACAGGCGTTAAATTTTTGAACATTTTTAAACACGCTTACCATCAAGTGGGCTGTGGTATAAAAAAATGGTCAATAGAATGCCTTTTAGTGTACTATTTAAGAGCATGTGTAATTGTACCATTAATTTTATAATATTGAATTTGATTCTTATATAATTTCACCTAATGAAATATCAAATAATAATTTTCGTTTATTTTAAACATTATAACATTAATGATGATGATATGATGTATCAAGAATCATACTAGGTAAATTCTTAAAGAAATAATAAATAATCTCTGATATTATTATGCTGATGGTTTATAAGTAGTAAAAAACTGTTTGTGTATTAGTCTGTTGTCAAACCTCCAAATATTTTTTTTACAATAGGTTTTATAGCACAAAACGCAATAATCTTTCTATAGACTATGTAACTATTGTACACAAGTATGTATAGATTGCAGTCTACTGAGGTATATCTATGTGCAGTTTATCTTGCTGTCAACATAGACAGATTGTGGAAAAATAATGAATTTTGTATTGACATAATTGAAATTCAGATTAGAATTACTTTAATTAGGTCATTGAAAATGTCTTACATTATTCAAGTTGAAACTATTGGACTTTCACCTGTAACATGCACTGTACTATAAGAAATGCACTCAACTGAAGTAAATATAGTTTAGTTAAATAATAACTTTTACTATGAGAACATCATGAATGAATGCACACACTTAAAGAGGAAATCAATTGTTGATTTAAACAAAAGCATAATAGTCCATTTTCTATTTTAAAACACTATTACCCTGCCATTAATTTCCTGCTTTGTTATACATAAACCTAACCATTGACAACCAGTATATTTTTATTAAACTGTGACATTCACTAGGCCTTATTGATAGTCATTGTTATTGTTCCTTGGCACTCAATACAATAAGAATCCAGTAAAAACAACTGCTATTACCTTATTGATTAGAATTTTACATCCATTGTTCCACTTCGGCGCTATACATTGGGCCCTGTTGAAATATAACAAGTTAGGTACACCAAAATAGCATGATTACAGGTAAACAGATAAAAGCAGAATTGCCTAGTGTACGAGATTACTGTAAAATTAGAATATTTACTGGGGTCAATCCACTTGACATATTTTCTACGCTCTAATGACTATTACAAAACTGCACCGCGAAGCGGGGACTGTTGCGATTGCATACGACAATCGAACAACGAAACATGAAACACCTTCACACCACACAATTATCGACTAACAGTACACAGACACGGTCTATCAACGTCGCCGCACACCCAAATCACTTATCAAACACAGCAAGCAACAAAAAACTCTCCTTTCGCTATGAATATGGTTTTCACGACGATAGAACTGTCTACGAACTTATTTCACAATGTAAACATATTGAGTATTACCAAAGCGGCTCATAATCGACAATGTGCGACACGATTCACAAATATTTATGTAAAACAAAAGCAATAATAACTTGAACAAGAAAGATAACACGTATTATCGTCAATAATTTGCCAACATTTCTCGTTTCTATACCTTTTTTAGCAAGGCAAATGAATGAATGAATGACGGACGTCGGACATATTGAACCAGTGTCACCAGGAAAATCGGATAGCTATCTAAAAGTATTAGAAATTTTTAATGGAAAAATAAATAATGATGAAAATTGAAGATGAAAATTTCCTACAACATACTTTCCAAAGTATAAAAAAATGGTTTACAAGGAAAAATTACTGTTTTCTAAAATGGAATAGAGTTATTAACAATAAAAGTTGTGTCATCATCATAAAGGAACTCACTGTGACTGTATCCGAATCTAAAATTTACTGTCAAAATGGTAATATTTGCTGTCAAAGTGCACGTTCCAGGTACGAAATAAAATGTTCCATAATTTTAGTCATAAAAATGATGAAACAAAATCAGTCAGGGATAAAATCGATAATAAATAATGTAAAAATAGAAATGTATTATTTTAAGGTGTTTAAGACAAGTACGATTATACTAATGTTATTGCATAAAACTTTCGTAATGTAATCGGCTCATTAACTTATAAAAAAAATTAAATAGGACTACAGTAAGCGTTATGTAGAATATTTTATCGTTTTCTTGTAGCCTTAATTGATGCAATATCTTTAACTCAGTAAAATCTTCTGTAAAGTAAGGTCATAGATTGCGTGTTTTTATATAAAGCGCGCTAAGAGTTCAATGTATTACAATCGTCTATCTTTTGCATTAAAGTCTCCTCATCACAATCGATGCTACAGCTCGAGAATCGTAGAATACGATTGGCTAATAAGAAAATAGCACAGACAATCTATTAGACGAAACACAACGTGCTTCATACCGTAGCAGAATACTACGTTGTGATTGGTCAACGGTTAGCGACAAACATATAAAGATAACGCGCCGTATACATAGTTAGATGGGAGTACTATTTCGTCGTACAAATAAATGACACGCAATAGTGAAGAACCAATAAAAAACGAGGCGCAAATACGTGTTTTTTTATAAATTAAGTGGTCAAACACAAAAACATTTCCTCGTACATCATTTGTAACGGTTTGCAAAACAGTCGTGTGTCGTAGCAGTGTGTGATAACGTGAAAATCGAATGTTTTGATGTCGCGAGGCATGACCACGGCATGACTTCCATGCCCTGCGTACCTACGGAAGGGCGTGCGGTGCGAATTACGTTTACTATGAATGATTTTATCTCTTTCTAAACTCGAGTGTCTGTGAATGACCGAGTGTAACAGCGAGCGTACCAAATTATGGATTGAAATAGTGTTTGTTGTTGATGTATTATGATTATTTCGCAAAGATAAGATTTTTAACATTAGTGTTATCGTGTTAGTGAGGAATCGCCGCAGTTCTGCCCACGGAATAAATTCTTATGGTACTACGTCGGATTCGTTACGCCGTTCGATTTATCATAACGAGGTACTATTTACGCACTATATGGTGATTATTTTAAGTATTTTTAGTCGTGGCGCGTGTCCGCCGACGGTGTTTTACTATTCGTCGTTTATTAGGGTGACTTTCATCATTGGTGTAAACAACTTCAAGGTTATCGGTTGGCATGTGCCAGAGTCGTTAGGTGCGGGACTGGGATGCAGGAGTGATGTCGGCGGCGGGAGGCGGGGGCGCGGGCGCCGTGGTGCGCCAAGGGCAACTGCGGAAGCTGAAGACGATGAAAAAGAAGTACTTCGTGCTGCGCGCGGAGACCCCGGAATGTTCAGCCAGGCTGGAGTACTATGAGTCGGAGAAGAAGTTCCGCGCGGGAGTGGCGCCGCGCAGAGTGCTGCCGCTCAAGAGCTGCTACAACATCATGCGGCGGCTGGACCTCAAGCAGAAGCATGTGATCGCACTGTTCACGCGAGAGGAGCAGTTCTGTGTCGTGGCGGACAATGAGCAGGACCTGCATGCCTGGCTGACTGCCATCCTGAAGCAGCACCGCAGTGATGACGCCAGTGACGAGCTGCTTCATCCCATACGTAAGTGTTCCCACTTATTTTATTGAATTTTCTTATAATGTTTACTAAAACATGAGTACATGCTGGAATGTTTAAGGTTATGTAGGTAACAATGTCATGTTCAAGTGTAAACTTCTGAGCATTCACTATGTAAACCATGTTAATATTTTGGTCAATGGGTCGTCTTAGGTTTTTGTCTTTTAGACAAAACTTATTTAATATTTAAAATATTCCAAACTTTGAAAGGAAAACAAAACTGCTCTCAAGTTGTTTGATAAAACTGTATTGAAGTGTTTTTATCTACTAAAGTTTTCATTCCAACTTAATATCACAGACTTAACTAAAAACTTAATTGATGTTTACTCTATTAAATCATTAAGGTAATACAAAAACTTGATAATTCACTCTCAGTTTGCTCAAAGTCATTCTCATCATTAAAATACTTTACTACCTATTTTGTATGAATGACAGTCAAAGATTTCACGAGACTCATTATTTTAATTGAAAAAATGTCTGAAACACTGTTAAAAGTATGCATTTAATTTGTAGAATTCATTATTTAGGATTAGTAGGTACATATACTTTACATTATTGTTATTAATGTGTGATAAATACATATAAGAAAGAGACAAATAAGAATGTTTGAACGGAAATATTTATTTGTAAGTTTGGTACATATATGAGCTGTAATACCCATGTTTACATAACTCTTAGGAAATGGTGCACTATTATGAAATGAACTTAAATTTCAATATCTAAAACCTTTCTTTTTCTTTTTAAACCATTACTTAACTAATAATTTTTCTTATAACATTCATACTGATTTAAATTTTGTGATTTCATTATAATCATTTTCCAATTAGTAGGTAATTTTAGGTATATGGGCTTATAAGCCTAGCATGTTACAGAAGTTATATAGTTTGTTTAACTTTGAACAACTTTGAAATCTATCAAAATATATAAAGATATTATATTTATTTGCATTACCATGAGTGAGATTGTAGTGCATAAGAAATATATGCAATTACGGAGCTACATGTTTACCATCAAATAGGCAAAGAAATTACCTAATTCTTTATTTTTATTCAATCATGGTGAGTTAGTGACTAGGTTTATATATTTCTTCCGTAATCTATCATTATGTCAGGCAAACTATTACTGGGTTTTAAAAAAAAAACTCAGTAGTAGCATGGAGTCTGAAATTGTGCCCGTTATATGGCAATAGGCTCACCCCCTATTACATGGGACTCATAACATAAATAGGGAAAAGTGGGTGTTACATTGGACAGTGGTATAATGTGCACCTCTGCCTACCCCTTGGGGGATAAAAGGCATGATGTTATGTTATGTTATCTACAATTACTGTGTAAGACCTACAACTGGAGAGCACTGAATGAATATTATTGCTTTTTACCTAAGTACAAAGTATATTGAATTGATATTTTAAGCTTAGTATTTTTCATACATTATATTTATTTTCTTAAATATCTAGGACTGGAACTAAACACTAACTTCTTTTTGTGTAGCTATCTAGTATGTTTGTAATTATTCACACTCACAATGCTGTTATTTACCTATTTATTCTAGACTGTGGTTATATGTATAAAAGCGAAATTAAAACTAAAAGAGCCGCGATGTGAACAACCGAACTGCGTAGGAAACGTAATTCGCAGTTTATTGCGTCTTAACGGAAAGCAATGTACTTGAGAGGAGTCCGAGGAGTCGCGAGCGTTCGCCAGCTAGACTATAAACAAACATTAAAGTAAAATTCTAATAACTTACTTCGCATATACAGACAATAATAAGCGACTGCGAACATGCCATAAAAAGTTAAAGCACCGTCATGTACTATGGAAATTTAGGCGCGTACGTAAGAGCCGGTGTCATTGACCCTCGGTAATATTGTGATGCTGTGGGTAAACATACGAATACAATCATTAATCTTAATACGAGTTGGTCGTCGGAAGCGAGTGACGGCCCTTTTCACACGTAATGATTGTAGGGTTGTATGGGTCAGCGCCAGAACGCTTGTTTTGATTTTTTGTATCGACTTTTCTAGTGGATTGTTTCAGTTTTAGTGTTCGAGGTTACAGAAAAATGCTGATATCATTATCATAGTGTCATGATTACTCATTAGTTGCTTTACGTTCACGTTACGGGGATTTTTTTATTTGTATTTTTCATATTACATTGACGCGGTCGGCAGGCGTGTTTATTTTAAGGTTTTTGCACTTGTGACGTCGTCGCCGGTGTAGCCTCAGGGCTCTACAGTTCACGGTTACTCGCTCGTATGATGAACTAATCAATCAACTCATCCTACCGTAGTGCACGGGTCACTCGGACATCGCCCCAAAACTCGAGTTTTAATCGTTAACTTTGGTTAGTAAGTAATGATGAATAGCTAAAGCTAACTTGGTTGACATAGTATGGACTAACAGTTTTATTCATGAATGGTTTACATTCCCCCATTGGTAACTAGGACGTTTTGGGGTATTCTTTCATCTCGTGACTATTAAAAACGAGTTTAAATGAAGACAAGAATGAATAGCTCAAACACCTAGATAATTAGTTATGAAATAGTTAAAACTGAAAGTTTTAGGCGATGAAATGAAGAAACTTAGCATCACTGTGACGTGTAATCGGTGCAGTTCCTAATCTTATGATGCATATGCAGCACTGAACTGGTGGTTTGTCCTTGAAAACTTAATTTTTAATTCGTTACCTTAGTGAAATCAGTTCTCTAGTTCATTGAACTGGGTTTTTCCAAGCTGCAATTGTTATAATATAAGAAAAACCCAGCTGTTCGAGACCTGAGTACGTGGCGCGGGTCGTTTCGATGTAAACACCATGAGATCATAGTCTAGCTCTTTCATATTAAAGTACCTGTATGACCGTCTCATATAGATTAATGTGTTAGCCCGGTAAAATGTTCTTCGGTGATTGCTCTCGTTAGAAAAAGGCCACAACCTTTTTAGGAAAACAGAAGGCTAACGATTGGTTGCCATTTGGACATTTAGATTAACGTAGAAACGACTACAACTATTAACTCAAATATTGCAGTTAAAACTTCAACAATCAAAGAAAGTTTTAGATTCAGCATAGAATCGAAGCCAAGTGCTTCATGATGACGCTCATACCTTTATCATCTAATCCCCTACCTTTCCCTGAAAGAGAATTCTATCATTTTCTTTCTAACGTAAAGTCAAAAGCCTATGCCAGAACTATGTACCTTTCGTATCGTTCGTCATTTGATTGTTCTCGTTATTGCGCAGCAGTGTGAACCGAAGCGGCTTTTCTAACACGGAGCAGTTCTTCCAAACTAACCCCATTGGTTAAGGTGGACATAAATCTAAACTTAAAAATTTACTGGCTTTCTTTACATTATTTCAGTTCATAGTCGATTACGATATTTTAGAGAGCCTTAATTCATCAGATTTTGACGCCTTGGTCAGTTTATTGCGCATCAGTCAGCAGTGTACCAATAAATATGTTCCTACTTCCGGTGACTAACTAGCCGTGCCTAGGCTAGGACAGCTATGGTTAACTATTATAGAGCATTTCCAAGGACAGTATTTTAATTTGTAAGAAACACGCACGCTCGGACTGTTGTCTACTCATAGGTCACACAGTGATCTCATATTTGTTTGCTAACTAACTAATTTGAGTGTTTACTAGTGCAATGATTAATTATATTGTTTATTGTGATGTTCGTAAACGATTGTGTTTACTGATCGTGGCACGTGAACTGCAAACATGGCAACGTGTAGTACATTTGCTGTATCAATTGAAGCTGTCTACGTCATGTTTTCTTCTGAATATTGTTGTTATTCAGATTGAGAGAAAAATGGATTTAGCTTAATGTCCTACTCTGACGTATTAGCAGTCAATGTATCAAGTTTAACCCCGCACCAAGGTCTCGATCAAGGCCTTGCATTAGCCTATCGTTAGGTATGTGTGTGTGAAGTTCAAAAATATCGCAATATCAGCAAAAATAGCTATTGTACTGTTGTTCATTCAGTTTAGTAAACAATTTATTGTTTTGTAGTTCAGTACGAGGTTCCACACCTACGTAAGTAATACGCTACGCATCCGATGACCTTTCCTTTGAATTGATGCGCACTAAGCAAAACATTAAACTGTATACGTTTTTAGGTGTTTAGAAAAGAAGTAAGGATTTATCGTATGGGATATAAGTATGGTTTACGACATTATTAAGTGGTTTAGTAGGTAACCATAAAAGCTGTAGCTGAAGTTCTGTGATTGATTGTCCGGTTTGACAAAACCAAAATGTCACTATCAAGGAAGCAATGTGGCAAAAATCGCCGAAAAGGGCAACTTCTAATAATAAGAGCGTCGTCATCTAAAGAGAGAAACCTGACTAGAAGTTCAGGGCAATGTCTAAAACAAATGTTAATACCATGAGCTAAAATTTGAAGGTAATATTCATGTTATATTTGTTTTTACAACGTTTATAAGTTGATATGATGATAATGAACTACAATAACAAATAATTTCCTTCAACAGTTTGTGCACAAGGACAATCAGCTGATACATTTATCTTATCATACGTTACTGAATGTTACGCTCTTGATTCTAAAGGGTAAGCAGAGATATAGATGTAACAAACATATGATTCACTTTCGCAGAACCTTAATTTTTGTTACTGAATAAACACGGATCCTTATTTTAGTCATAAATCATAACTAGGTACCATCGGGACATCATTACATCGTGATTAGAACGAAATAAAGCTTTTAATAAAAAACCAATGATCAATATTTGGTCATTATCTTCTAATTTTAGATTTAAACAATTAATTAGTGTTTGTTTAATCTATTTGTTTAAAATTCTCAATTCTTTCATCGCCGTCAAGGCACAGTGAACACTGACGTAACATCAAGTAAACTTGCGTCATTACAACTGTTTATTTGAGAATCCCCCTCTTGTTGTATGTACCGTAACCGTTCTTTTTTAACTTAACGCGTCAAAATCAAGACAAACAACCATCAATAATATCATCTCGAAAATAATGATTTGTTAAACAACGCCATCTATCGATGTACATAGTGAAACTTTCGAAATTATCAGCTATCGTATTTTTGCTTTTATCGCAGTTCTTCTAGTAACTGAGATAATGATAGGTTGTAGCCCTTAGGTAATACATTTTGGTTTTCAAGAATGCTTTCTGTGGATTTAAAACTATAATTGAAAATTGAATATTGTATAAGTACACAAGTAGTTTTTTGTACCAGATTATTAACATGTTTCACGTAACTAAATGTTTCACGTAATATAGAGTTTTACGTATTTCACATGATAATAGGTACTAAATATAAATTCCATCTACATAAGTGGATCTCATAACACTAATTAACTAGCTTTTAAAAGAATTCTTATTTTCCCTGCTCGTTGACAGATTGCCTCGTTGGCCGAGTGGTCGCAAGTGCGACTGCCGGGCAAGGGGTCTCGGGTTCGATTCCCGGGTCGGACAAAGTACTACTGAGTTTTTAAAAAAAATCTCATTGGTAGCATGGAGTCTGGAATTGTGCCCGGTATATTGCAATAGGCTCACCTCCTATTACATGGGACTCATAACATAAATAGTGAAATGTGGGTGTTAGATTGTACAGTGGCATTAAATGCCGTAATGTGCACCTCTACCTACCCCTTTGGGGACAAAAGGCGTATTGGTGTTATCTTATTTTTCCTACACAAAAGCAAAGAATATTTTAAGTAACTAGGTAGCTGGTAGGTACATAATTTATCATACTACTTTCTAAAGGCTCAGCTAAAGGTTTTGCCTGCGGCTTTTCCTCGCCTGTATCCTATGTCCTTCTCCATACTTAGTCTCAAATTAAGTCACTTTAATGCCTTAAAGAAATTAGTAAATCAAAAAGAGGTAACACACAAATAGGTTAATAATAAAAGTTACCTAGTTGGATTATTTAATCGTTTTACAATATTTCCTCTGAACTATCTATCAATTGCTTTATCGCAACTTAGTCACAAACACGCTCTATGAAAACCGCGATGATCTATAAATTATATCTTATAGGTCATTAGGTCATAGTCGGACGCTAATGACCTAGGCATTGTATTGTACTGTCGCCAGTAAATCAAGCTACTCCAAATCTGTCCAATATATTAACTCGTCGATCACCGTCAATATAGACACAATTAAAGAACAATAGGTTGCGGTCACCGGTGACCGCTTGGTGTTTGACAGTTTAATTGGATTTTCGACTTTATGTCGATACAATAAAGTTGAAGATAAAATTGAGAAATTGGACAGAAGAGGATAGGTTGACTTGCTGGCTACTGGAAATAAATAAGACCGATTGGGAATATTATATTCTGTCAAAGCATTTATTGTACAAATAATTTAGTATATAATAAGTTTAGTTTATTTTCAAGTGTGGAAGAGCTATATTTCGGAACGAATCGATCGGAGTAATACCACAGCTTCACAGAAAACTGACGTGAAACAACACTTGCGATGTGTTTTGTCGTGTGAGTGAGCTTACCGGAGGCCCAATTACCCCCTCTCCTCAATCCCCGAATACCCAATAATCCTCTAATTTCTAATCCGCAAAAGGCCGGTAACGCATTTGTCACCCCTCTGGTGTTTCAAGTGTCCATGGGCGGCACCGGTTGCTTACCATCAAGTGATCTGTCCGCTCGTTTACGGGCTTATCCCATAAAGAAATCGTTATACGGAAACTAGATTCTAAGCAAGATTCTAGTGTTTCTGACTAATAGCTAATTATAATTTAGTTAACAATGTAGGTATCATGTCAATACTTGTGAATTTTTGATTCAGTTTTACATAATCATTTTAATTGGCGTAATGACTAATAAAATGTTTAGTTAAATTGTATGCATTTATATTCTTATCTATAAACGTAATTAATTTTACTTAAAACCTTTTTTAAGACTATCTTCAAATTTGAAATGATTTGGGAATTGGGACGTTTATATATTGCAGGGGACTTCTAATAAAAAACAAACTATTGAAATAATGTAACTTTGTGTCATATACATATATAATCTATTAATACAATGGTAGGCGACATCCTAAGTAAACAAAGACTGTAACAGGAAAAAAAATACCCATATAATGAATATAATTTCATATTTAGAAACTCAGTGTTTTCCCGGGTTTGTTGTTTTTCCCTAATAATGCAGTTGTTTGCGACAAAATATGGGTAATTATTGTTTCTACTAGACCGGTATTTTGAGCTCCTAATTAGATTAGATTCATTAGAAATAAATTAGGTATTATGTGACTTCATTTATGAAAATGTAAAATTCTACCTAACTATTATTTTGTACACCAGCTTTGTATCCTGCAGTTGCAAATTCAACCAAATGCAACTAATACCATTGACATTAATTAATTAAATAATTTTAAGTGTGGGAGAGCCATGCTTCGCCACGAATGGGGCGGCTCGACCGAACCGATACTACGGCCTCACAAAAAAAACCGACGTGAAATAACGCTTGCGTTGTGTTTCGTCGTGTGGGTGACGTTACCGGAGGCCCAATACCCCCTCTCCAGTCTCCCAAATGCCCGAATCCCCCCACAATTTTCAAATTCCCATTTCCCAAAAGGCCGGCAACGCACTTGTAACGCCTCTAGAGTTTCAAGTGTCCATAGGCGGCGCCGATTGCTTACCATCAGGTGATCTGTTTGCTCGTTTACCGGCTTATCCCATAAAAATACCTATAGTACCTATAAATTCATAGCCTTTAGGTAATTTTTAAGTAAACTAATTCAAAAGTACCTAAAATAGGTTTCTTCTCACCTTTAAAACCTACCTTCCAAATTTATTATTATTATAGCTTCTATTATCGTTTCCAGAGCATGTGTGGCAAGTAAACGTCCAGAAGAAAGGCCTGGGTGCGACGAAGAACATCCAGGGTCTGTACAACCTGTGCCTCACGGACAAGACCCTCACCCTGGTCAAGATTAAGAGTCACAATAACGTGATCAGCGATCTTGGTCTACTGGAGCGGGTTGAATACTCCTTGAAGAATATTCGGAGGTATGCGGACATTTTAATCTTCTTTGTAATTCTTTTGTATATTGTTTTTTGGATATATGTACCTCTAGTATTGCGCCTGCCTAATTACCAAAGTTTACTGCTCTAAACTAAAATTCGATAATGCAATTTTGACTCCTCTGGTGTTATTGGGATGAGTAGCACAACCAACTTATTACTGGGTGATCTCTCTGATCAGTGGCATATATCCTAATTATACATAACATAACCTTTTATCCCCGAAGGGGTAGGCAGAGGTGTACATTATGCCACTGTACAATATAACATCCACTTTTCACTATTTATGCTATGAGTCCCATGTAATAGGGGGTGAGCTTATTGCCATATACCGGGCACAATTCCAGACTCCGTGCTACTACTGAGAATTTTTTAAAAACCTAGTAATACTTTGCCCGACCCGGGAATCGAACCCGAGTCCCCTTGCCCGGTAGTCGCACTTGCGACCACTCGGCCAACGATGCAATCCTAATTATAGTAATTTCTTTAAAAAAACCAACTTCAACCCCCCTCCGTTTTTTGAAGTTTGTTAATATACTAAAACGTTCTCCTAAGAGCCACAAACACTTTTCTGAAAACCCCATAAAAATTGGTTCAGCCAATCGAGAGATAATCGCGCACAAACATACAGACATAAGTATATACGGATCAAATTGAGAACCTCCTTTTTATTTTCTTTTTGTAGTCTGTTAAAAACTATCTTTTAGTTAAAAGGAGACTTGAAAATCTATTTCATAAAAAAGTCTAGTTGGAGTCTAGCATAATTTCTGTACTTACATTATTAAGAAACAAACGCGATGACTAAGTATTTATTAAGTTTTCAATGCAACTCTTTAGATATCGTTTGTTCAAAAAAGAACAATAGCTTGTATGTGTTATCGATGTAAAACGCTCAGTGCGCCCCCTATGAACTACATGGAATATGGAGGATCCTGTAGATGTTGCACTTTGGCTATAAGGGATAAAAACATGATATAAGTAACTACTGATTATGTCAGCAGCACCAACAAACCATAATGACTAAATAATCGTATAGAATAAAGATTTGTCTATGGTTTCAATGATTACCAACTATAGGCATTCCATGTCATCTGGTCATCATTTTATAAAGAAAAACATTTTTTATGGGATAAACCGGTAAACGAGCAGACGGATCACCTGATGGTAAGCAATCGGCGTCGTCCATGGACACCTGAAACACCAGAGGCGTTGCAAGTGCGTTACCGGCCTTTAGGGATTAGGAATTTGAGGATTGTTGGGGATTCAGGGATTGGGGAAAAGGGGAGGGTAATTTGCGGATGTAACCTCACTCACACGACGAAACACACCACAACGTTGTTCCACGGCGGTCTTCTTTGACGCCGTGGTATCACTCCGGTCGAGCCGGACCATTCATGCCGAAGCATGGCTATCCCACACTTATATCTTAAGGTTATCCACCTCGGACTTGTTATTTGGATCTTACGTATTATATTCTAAGAAATCCTTTTGACTTTTAAAACATATCTTTTGTATTTTCCATCGTCAAAGCATTTGCAAAGAATAACAATGAACTAACCACTGGCAATATTTCCCTTTCCTGATCACAACCGTAATACTTAATTAGTATGTTTGGGTACGTCATTACAATTATTATGAACGTGGTTGAAAATACCCAAATATTATTATAAAGGATATTATCTAACAATGAATAACTATTCCGAGAATCGGTGTTACGATTATTTTTATAACATAACCAATGCGGTTGTCGTAATCTTCTAGGGGAAATACCAGAAGTTGTGGTTTCAGAATGTGCATTATCACGAATTCTTTTGCGGTTCTTCTTATTGGTGGAACACACAGCTTTGAAAGGGAATTGTGGAAATTATTGACCTTTAGAACGGGAAATTTTTTGTGTTGATTTCCACAATAGCAAAAAATTTTTAATATGAGGTTTTCAAGAGTGTCCATGCACAGCGTATTGTCTAAAGTACAGTCTAGGCGTCCATCCAGCCAGACAGATATAAGTTAAAGTTCAGTTATAGTGGTATATACTGCTTAGTTCTATTTTTATTTTTATTCAATCTAGGATAATTAAATGATCCCCTAAGAACTTTAACCAGCTGCATTACATTACATGCATGTCTATCATACCCGCCTCTGAAGTTACTTTAGGAGAGAAGAACAAAGATTATGTATGTAGGTATTAGTCTTATCGTTTTATAAGAGCCGTCGTGTGTAGCCGGCTATTCGTGGAAAAGCATGGCTCTCCCTCATTTAATGGTCGCTTGTCATGGCATTTCCAAACATTCGATCAACGAGATAATCCTTACTAATATTATAAATCGGAAAGTGAGGTTGTTTGTTTGTTCCGCTTTCACGCCGTAACTACTAAACCGATTGCTTTCAATTTTTGCAGATGTATAGTTAGAAGTCCGGATTAAATAATAGGGTACTTTTTTATCCCGGATAAATTTGATATTCCCGAGGGAAAACAAAAATATAGGTATAGATGGCGCTGTGTGTATTGATATATGTCACGTTGGCTTTTTAACCTTTTGTGACGCGAGCGAAGCCGCGGGTAAAAGCTAGGGTTATGAATAAAAAGGGGAAATCATAGTTTACCACCATTTTACCTTGTACCGAATAAGGTAATATGAATATTATGAATTAACAACTATTTATAGGTGCGGTAATCCAGTAACCTACCGCTGCAGAAATAAACAAACGATTAATTAAATGATTATTGTTTATGCATAATAATTACCGCGATAGCTAACGCCGATAGTTCAGCAGTTTGTTACGGGTGATCGAACGAACCTCGTCGATAAAATCAATGTAAAGTAAACTATGATGTAACTGCCATATGTTATATCAATTTACCTTTCTACCATTACGTAGGGGTCGTTTAACTTAAACATAGATAGTTTAAACTTGAAAATGTCCTTATTTCGTTAGTAATTGGGTCCTCTTTTCTGCTGGAAGATTCAAAATATCATAACATGTTATCCTCACCTAGAAAGATGTTTCTATAAAGTTTAGCTAAATAATAACGTTGACTTTTCCCCGTCTCAGTTGTGGGTTAGTGAGTCAGATTCGGTTGAATGCAGATAGGCATTTTAAATGGAATACCTAATTATCATTTAGCCTTGATAACTCACTAGAAAGGCGTAAATGTCATTATAATAATAGGCATCGATGGCAATAGGTTCGATATACTATTATAACTGGTATTTTTCTTTTTTTATGAGATAAACCGGTACACGATCATCTGATGGTAAGCAATCGGTGCCGCGCATGGACACTCAACAGCAACACCAGAGGCGTTACAAGTTCGTTACCGGCCTTTTGGGGATTAGGAATTTGAGGATTGTTGGGAATTCAAATATTGAGGAGATTGTGGTGGGTAATTGGGCCTTCGGTAACCTCACACACACGACGAAGCATAACGCAATCGTTGTTTCACTTTGGTTTTTGTGAGGCCGTGGTATCACTCCGGTCGAGCCGACCCATTCGTGCCGAAGCATGGCTCTCCCACACTTAACACTCTTGGTCTGCGATGACCAGACTGAGAGTAATCGTAGCTAGCTTAACCAAAGGGCATATAGTAAGTACGTGCGTCCGTAACTTCCCGTTTATAGATTTACCTAAACAATAAACCGAAACCTGACGTCATAGAACAACAAATAAACAAATAATTAATAGTAACTATTAAAATTCATATAAGGTTTATATTTCTCACTGAATGATGATTAATTGTTTTCGAATCCTTGTTTTATTTGTGTTGCCGATGACGTCTTTGTTCTCAGAACTGCAATCGCGCGGTCTCCTATGAATGTATTCATTTTCTCACAAGGTTTACCTGCGTAAATACAGTGTTATGATGACGTACGTACCTAAATAGGTACGGGTGTATGAATCCTTGATTGTTTGCGTTTTGTTTTTTGGTAGTATAGGAAAATTTCAAAATTTTAAATGTAATGGCTGACTGGCATTCTATAAAATTAGGTTTAATTACTGTATTTATGATACTCGTCACGAATAATTAATATTAAAAAAACTTTATTAAAAGAAAAATATTCTGAACGTTCCAGATGTGGCGATTCCGAGCGTTTCTTCTACATGGAGGTGGGGCGGCAGACGACGACCGGTGCGGGAGAGCTCTGGATGCACACTGATGACTCCAACATCGCGCAGAGCATGCACTCCACTATATACCAGTATGAAATCTACAGATATTTAGACAAATTTATTCTACAGTACAATAATTGTAAACGACACTATAACAGGGACCGTAAATTAATACTGGGGTTCTAATACAGTTCAATCTTTCATGGAACCTGAACAGCAAAACTAAATTTAAACCTTGATAAATTATGGGGATGCCTTGAAGAAAATACACGTATTTAGAATGAGAAGCTAAAATTGATACCTTTTTCAGTAGGTTCCTCGTTCGTCTCCTTATCTCCTTTGTGTTAAGTAACTACCAAAGCCAAAATAGCTCCTGATGTTCCACCACACTACAATCGATCTTCCCATATTCCAGTGCAATGCGTGACTGTGCGAAAGAGACAGAAAATGAGCGCGACCACATCGTGTTGCCGAAGGGGCCCGGCGACAACACGTTGCCGACCCGACGCCAATCATATTCCGACGGCAGGGGCCGGGCCGGTCTCACTAACGGTAAGTTACATGATAGGCACATCGACAATCGGGGAATCGTCTATGAAGCGAGATTTTGCCAATATTTCCTCATAAAAAGGAAAAATATTGTGTCTATTTCATTTGGAAGGGTACCTACAGTGACTTTTAAATCTGTGATAGAGTCATGTTAAAATATCGATTGAATTATCTTAACCTTTCAGTATTCGGGCGATACGTTGATACATCTTAACGAAAATTCCCAAAAAATGTTCATGCAAAAGTAGTCTTTAACCATAAGGTCTATAATGGTATTAGTGGAGAGCGGTCACCGATGACCGTTCAGGGATTGAGTAGTTAATGATAAAGTCCACATACAAGATATTTTTACCATGATTTTATCAACTTTAGTAACTTCAAGTTCTAAAAATCAATTTGCCCTTACCAAATGATTCTCGATATACAATGATTCTCGCTCCATACACATTGGGTTTTATTATCTACACAACTCATGTAGTTAGATCACACTAGTTCGTATCATTACTGTACAAGGGCTATTTTCCTTTGACCAAACATAGTAGTTTAGTTACCTTTTGCTTGCATTCATGTCACCCGTAGAAGTTGATGCTTGTTTAGTTTAGTACTTTTGTAGCGTAGCAGTGACTAACATTTGTTCAACGTCAATAAATATGTCAATGTCAATAAAATTTTTCGTGTTAACATGAGCCCTTACATCTATAAAACATACAGGAGTAGATCATCGAAATGTCAAATAGTCAAACATTGTGTGTTAAAATGTACTCAAGAACATCAATGTATGTAAAAAAAGAGATGTAGGATTATTGGAATGGGATGTAAGGGCTAACTGGGCAGCGCTCCCTTGCAGAGAAGGGCCTGTGCGTGGGCTCGTGCATTAGGCAGTGCGTGTGCGCCAGCGCCACCTACTCCATCGACGAGCCGCCCCTCGCCCCGCCGCCGCACAACGGTACACACCCTGTATATACTGTACCACTCGTACTGGACCACTCTGTATACAGAATTTTCTACTTTCGTAATGAAAATGAAAATTTAGAGCCCAAAAGGTCTTAAAGTTTTATTCTTTACTTTTTAGACTGATAAGTTGTTCTCAAAAATACTCATTAGATTTTGTCACTACAAACTGGCAATCATCTAGACATTTCGGATTTTATAAAGGAAAGTAAAGTTCACTATTAACTTTGAAATCGGTACTAGAATTTTCTGTATACGATGTTTTCCAGTAACAGAAGGAGAATGCTCCCTGACTCAGGACAGTTTAAGACGAGTCTGGACGTGTGCTGGTTTTGATTTACTGATAGTTGAATGACCCCTCTTTTATCTTAATGTGACCGTTTTCTTCCTCTCTATTGTAAAATGAACCTATTTCTCATAGTGACAAAGTTAATTTTGTAATGATTTCATGATTCACATGATTGTGAGTTCTGTGATTGTCCGGTTTTGTGCGACTAATACTTCTTTCTTTTTCTGATATAGTGTTATGAAACCTTCTTGATCATTTTCATAATGATGTTGTTTTATATTTCCAAAAAATTTGTATAAATATTCCAAGTAGATTCTATCTTCATACCAATCTTCTTATGTGTTGCCTCTTTGTGTTACCCCAGTATGTTTAACATTCGACTATCACGTATCAAAACTACTTAGACTACGGCCGCTTGCCCTGCTTTCAAATTCGGAGTACTAATTAATTTGCGCTCTACTAATTTTGTAATATAAGCTTTTAGGGTCAATAATTAAAGACGATAATTGCGTGTAACTGTAATGCGATTTAGGCTATTGTAATTTTAATTTACGTATTTAGAAAATCCTGTCTGCATGTATCAGTACTATTTGTGAACTTTTAGGAATTATTGACCCAATTATAATTAACAATACGCAAGCGACTATTACAAATATAGCTTCAAACAATACAGGGATCTTTTATAAATAGCTTGATATATGGATCGCACGAATATGTGCTTACCAAATGTTAAATAACATAGTTATAAAATAACGTACTAATATGAACCCTATAACAATTGTGTTAGGTTGAAAATGCTGTAATATCCATGAGCTTGTGCTAATAATGTACGTGCTGTCCACTTGAGCGAATTGAGACGAGTGATTGAAACGGTTTTAAGTGTATTGACATCGATTTGATTGTTTGATGGCAATTAAAATATGTTTGTCATTGGACCTAGGGTCGTCGATCAATGTTGTCAATATAAATTACAAAAAGGTTTAGAATTTATATTATTACTTTAGTGAGACATGCTAATTTAATTATTATGTTTTCGGCTTACTCTACTAGTTTCAAGCCAATATGAGCCTCTAACATGGCTTGAAACTAGTCGAGTTCCGCGTCAAACATTGACATGAGTAAGCCGACAACATAATAATGAATTAACGTTAAGAATTATGTACTAAAAAGACTAGAAACGATTCCTTAGCGCAATAGTGGACAGAATATTCCATGAATCATGTATTGAATACCTTAGTTGAATAACAGTTAGGTATAATTTCGCTTGCATGTATATCGTATCATGACATTGTATGGTTGTTGTTGCATGGCGCGAGGTATTGGTCAAACTGTCATTTTGTCGTATTGTCTACGTCCTGTGGTGTCATAGTGTCATACACATTCATATTTATAGTTTTTATTAAGAGTCTGGCAAATTTTTTTAAAAGTATACTTTGTTTTTAGATATTTTAAGTTCATTCTACAGTACATTGTTCAGTTCATTTAGTAATATGTGCTATTGAAAGTAGTATTGTAATAAAAATCTAATTTAATTAGTCCTGTTAGTGTACGTACGGAATATATAATGTTTTCATTGACATATCCATTTAATAATAGAAATTATTTTTGTAACCGATTAATTTCATAGCATTTTGCTGGACTTAAAACATTTTTCATATTGAGATTAATGTTATTGTAAAGGAGTGACATAATACTTTAACATTATTCATAATAATTATGTCACGGATAAAATTTATGTCACATTTTGATAAAATAATATTATAACCATACATGTGAGAGATGGCGGTTAGCACATTACTGATATATATATATCTCAGACTAATAATATTGTTTAAGGCCTTATTTACGTGTGTTGATTAAAGCTACTCGTGAATATGAGCCCCTAGTGTGACTTGAAACTAGTCGTGTCAAACAGTTACGAAAGTATGCAGTTAAACATGCTTCTTATTTAATTTAATATTTCTCATTTACAATCTAGTCTGCCATCATTCACAGTCACATTATAACATCATATAACCACCGCACCGGGTGAGCTGGGTGCCATATATTTTACTTGTCGCTTGTCATTGTCTTTCACAGCCGACAGCCAGAATAACACACTAACAGACAAAACTGACAACCCGGTTCGCCTCATCAAACATCATCGGACAGAGTCCCTTCCAACTGGGTACCCTCTCTTCCAAGAACCTCTGAAGATCTCCCACGGAAGAACAAGGTCTGAGCCTTTGACCGGGGAAGAAGTAGATCGCGTGCTCGTTGAGAAAGGAGTGACGCACTCCTCGTGCAAGGCCATCAATGGAACGGACACACTGCCCAAGAAGACGCAGTGGTCGAGGAGGGCCTCGACGGGGACGCGGTTACATAAACTGTCGCCGGCTCATACTAAGAGTAGGTATTTTAAGGGAGCGTCCATTACTTACATACTTAAATTTTTTACTAGTTATTTTACTCAGTCAGTTAATTCTAATTTTCAATTCTTTAAATTGTCCAAAAATAAACACACTTTTATTCTTCTGTTCGTATTTTTCCAGTTTTTTTTTTTTTTTTGATATCATTAAGTATTTCATACAAAATTCACAATAAAGATTTAATTAATAGTGTTGAATTTGACTCAGTGGAAGCACTAAGTAGAAATGTGCCCGGTATATGGCAATAGGCTCACCCCCTATTACATGGGACACATAACATAAATAGTGAAAAATGGGTGTTACATTGTACAGTGGCATTAAGTGCCGTAATGTTCACCTCTGCCTACCCCTTCGAGGATAAAAGGCGTGGAATTTGACTGGTTGTAAAATACCGTACTTAAAATTTTTTTTAAATGATTTTCTTAAATTTTGACTTGTAATGGACGCTCCCCACATTTCATGCATATCCATGATTAATCGTACATTGCACTGCACATTACTAACGGTTTTTTTTATTTTGTGTTGCCAGACTACAATGTTTTGTAAACTGGCAACTCTGTGTGGAATGTTTCTGTTGCGTTGTGTGAGCACGCTTACGAACAGACAGACAGACATAATGTGTGTGCATGGCTTTTTATATGCTTTTAATGTTGTTTTTTTTTGTACGTTTGTTAATTTAGTGTACAGACTACATAGTTATTATCACAACTGCAGCTGTAGCCAAATTCCATTTAGCGCTTGTCTACAAACCAAATTATATGGAATTGACGTAAATTTTGATACTTGTCAGTGTCATCTCCATACATTTAGTTTTCTACTCTCTCTGTAGACAAGCGCTAAAGTGGCGTTTGGCTAAAGGCCCAGGTGAGTAACTTAGGAAAAGTGAATAAAACTACTCAATGCGAATATTTTTAATTTACTTGTTATTACTGATTACGTAACACTACCTTTTTGATTATTTTCATAATAATATGTGTTTGTAATTATGTATAGTATTGTTCATATATTTTTTTATAAACCGAATTATTTATTCCTAAAGTTATGTACCTATATGTATATTTTGTTACATAATATTTATTTACAATTAACCTTGTATAGACAGGCAAATAAAATATGTGTAAAACCAATTTCCAAAGCAATAATTCACATTAAAAATACTGTAATGTAACAAATGCTCCATTTTTGTAAACATTTATGTGTGAATATTTAACATCAAAGTTAATAAAATAATTAAAAAATTAATATCAAAACTGATTGTACATTTCTTAAGGAACTGTACAATTTTAGGAACTAGTTGTACCGTTTTCGATAAATATTAGAGCTATATTAAGGAATCTGAATTATTAGTTCCACACTATCACATGTTACATCTGCAAAATTGTACCTTATCACCTGTACCAAAAGTTTTAATTTAATTATCAGAAAGCACAAGCACGTCCCAATAAGCATGTTCAAAATACAGCAATAAAAAATAAAATAAGCTTTAAATCGAACGAAATAAAGTTACAATTTGAATGGTTTTGTTGCATCTGCCTGTCACGTTATTGTTTCAAATGATAACAACCACGGATTCAATATTATAGCACAAAATTCAAACACGAACAAAATTAAACTCTATGACATGAACACAAAGTGCATTTTACAATATAACGTTCACTGTTATGAACACAGAACAAATTAAACCTTACACTGAATGGAATAAAGTTTATATTGCAAATGTTAATGTGTTGGTTTGCTTACAGACGCGGAGACGTTACGGAACCGATGTGTTAGTATGCCGTCAAGGGCGTGTTCATCGTTTGAAGTGGACAGACCTTCTTCGAGATACCCAGATACTGATGGTAAGATTTGTTTCGCAATGATTTAACAAAGTAATAAAACGATTTTGTTATTTTAATTGGTAACTGTAGTGCCATCTCTTGTACAATGTCGAAACTAATGTAACTATGGAGTATGCGTAATCGTAATATAGACTCTGCTATATCGATCCCATTAACGACTTTAGATAATTTAATCAGGAAGAAATAGACGATAGACGATTCTGAAAAGAGGAAAAACAACAATTAAATTAAATTGTGACCTATGTAATCATGCATTAAGGTCTATCTTTGCTTGCCACAACAATATTAAACGTATTGTTCCAGGTTTGGAAGTGTCTCGTGACGAGGCGGATGCAGTGACGGACTGGTACCGGACGCCGCGCATTCCTGAGGAACCTGACTGTTGCGACATATCTAGAGACTTTATGAGGTTGGTTTAGAACATTTTTTAAAGTTCTCGGGTCTTTTGAATTGTATTTGAAGGTCCATATACAACTAATAAATTCGTCACACACATCACATCCATCTCAAATGAATGAATTGTGCATTAACCAACGATTCTCATGACCAATTTCCTCTCTCAGTCGATAACTTGTAAATGCTTTACAAAGTTGTTTTATAAAGCATTGCAAACGTCAGTTGTGGCGTTGTTGGTGGGTAGAGGAGTAAAAAAGCTTTTTAAACTGTCAAATACCAAGCGGTCACCGGTGACCGCAACCTATTGTTCTATAATTGTGTCTACAAAACCGGTACTCGACGAGTTAACATATTTCATTAAACATGCCATAATGCCAACTTTACGAAAATTTATGTCTGGCATACGGGTTATAAGTTGTGTTTACGCTATGTTTCTCTCTGCAGCTCGTCCCTAGTGGGTGCGGGATCAGTAGCCCACTCGCGCACGTCGTCGGTGGGCGAGGCGGGCGCCGGGTACCTGCCCATGGCGCCCGGACACGACCCGCTCGCGGGGCTCATCTCCGCCTCTAGCGGGTCCCTCTGTAGCGGGACGCCCTCCACAGACCCGCGGTTTAGGTACGTATTCTAATAAGACGTTAACATCATCATAGAAAAAAATATTCGCGCTGAACCCAAGTACTTATAAACGATCAGAAAGTTCAGGATAATCTTTTTTAAGTAACTTTTTGATGAGATATTTATTATTGAATAGTATGATAATGGTATAAAGGTAATATTGTATGTGTTTGGTGCAGTGAGTACCAGCTAGAGCCCGCCACCTCCCACATCGGATTAGAGCGCCCCCCGCGAGCCTATAGCGTGGGGTCCCGGCCGGCCGGGGCCCCCGCGCCAGAGGCCCGCCACCGCGCCTACAGCGTGGGGGCCCGGGCACGACCCCCGCGGCACCCTGTGCGACCCAACACTGATGATCACATGGAGATTGACTTCTCCAATAATTCCCCTGCGAACAGGGTAAGTATCTTGTGAGTGGTTTATATCGCTTGAATGCGGTGAGTTTTCATTTTTGAGTGCTCATAACATATTTCATGTATCGTTAAAGCTATCATCTCAAGTGATATCGCGCACCCCACCGACGGCGTGCTTCGTAGAGCCGCGACCGAAGACGAACGTGGACGAGTACGTGGACATGTCGCCGCGCAACGCGGGCTACGTGGAGATGCGGCCCGGCGAGCCCCGCGCGCGTACCCCGCCGGCCCCGTTCGACATGTCGCTGGACTCCCCCGCCTCGCCGCAAGATGCGGACACTGACCTACTGGAGGAGGACCCGCCACACCACCCGCTCACTACGGTGCGGGAGATATCCGAGGACGGTCGTCGGAGCCCCGAGGTGGTGCCCGCAGCCTCGCGACGGAGCCCCGAGGTGTCGGTGTCACCGCAGTATGTGACGCTGGCCCTGACGGCGGCGCCCCCTAAGACGCCGGAGCCCTGCGGAGATGAGCTGTCCTGTAACCCCACCGCTAATAAGACTATCGTTAGGCTACCTGACCCTATCGAAACTAGAGGTAAGTTCTTTCTTGTAACTTTTTCTAGGCTCACAATAATTTATGTTAATATTTTGTAATAGAATTCTCAAAGTCAAAGTCAAAGTCAAAGCATTTATTTCAATTAAACCATAGTTTGGTACTTTTGAAACGTCAACAAATACAAAATAAATAATAGTCTGTCAGTCAGTCCGTCAGTGAAGCTAGGTGAAGCTAGGTGCTCATTCCAAAACGTAGATTCGAATGGAGAAGAACGAGCAAGAAACTCCATTCGTTACTCTTTTAAAAAAGTATGTTCTACAATGTCTCTGATACATATTTCAATACTGTACGCAAATGTAAGAACAATGCAAAGACACGCTTGACGCATTGTACTAATAACTTACTAAAATAAAAATAAAAATAATAAAGATCTTAAGTCCAACATGGTGCTCACATATGCATACTGACAATCCATAGAAATAGTGCTTCTATACAAGAAAAAGGAAACTCTTTGTTTCAATAAAGAAAGAAATGCTCGATGCCATAAGGAAACTAGATTGTCTACATTAGAATTAAAGTATTAAATTATGTATTATATTACCTACTATTGGAATTTAACTACTGACTACATTTGAGTATTGTCCAGTGGAGCCGAACCAACATGCTGCCAAGCATTCTTATCTTCAAGATAATCTGTCAGTGTGTAGTAAGCTTGATTACATAATTCGCGCTTAATATATGTTTTAAATTTACTTTCATTGAGATCTAGTATGCTATTTGGTATTTTATTATAGCATTTAATACCTAACCCCATAAAGGATTTCTGTACTTTGGACAGTCTGAATTGCGGTATAGCTAACTTATTTTTGCCTCTAGTATTAAAATTGTGTCTATCGCTTCTTTTTTCAAACAATTGCCTATTTTTCCTTACATACATTATATTTTCATATATATATTGACAGGGCACCGTTAAAATATTTATCGTTTTAAACAATTCTCTCAACGATTCGCAACGGCGTAAGTTATATATTGCTCGGATAGCCCGCTTTTGCAGAATAAATATTGATTCTATTTCTGCAGCTCGACCCCACAACAAAATGCCGTACGACATAATGCTGTGGAAATAACTAAAATAGACAAGCCTAGCTGTATCCACGTCCGTGAGCTGTCTAATCTGTCTAACTGCAAAAGCAGCTGAGCTCAATCTCCCCGAAAGCGCCTTTATATGCGGACCCCATTGTAGCCTATTGTCTAACGTAATGCCTAAAAATACTGTCTCGTCGACAAATTCTAACTTTTGACCGTTCAAAACAATATCACAATCGTTACTACGCACGTTTGGTAAACTGAATTTAATACATTTTGTTTTTTTTTCATTAAGTGCTAGATTATTAATGGTAAACCAATTATGCACTTGAAGAATGGAGCTGTTTACGTCGTCAAGATTATTTGTACGTCGATCTACTTTAAAAATTAATGATGTATCATCTGCAAAAAGCACCATTCTTGGTTCATTTTTAAATATAAATGGCAAATCATTTATATAGACTAAAAAGAGAAAGGGACCCAATATTGAACCTTGAGGAACGCCCATATTCATCCCAGAGCCCTGTGAGTTAATACCGTTAACATGAACCTTTAACTGTCTTTCTTCTAAATAAGATTTCATAAGACGGAGCGCAGAGTTTCTTATCCCGTAATGATCTAATTTCAGCAAAAGTGTTTCGTGGTCAACGCAATCAAATGCTTTTGAGAGGTCACAAAATACACCAATAGCATCCTGTGCTTCCTCCCAAGCACCAAATATTTCCTTAATCAAAGTGACACCGGCGTCAGTTGTGCAACGACCTTTAGTGAAACCGTATTGTTGTTGGTGAAAGATGGAATGTTTATTAAAATGATGAAGCATCCGAGACAGCATCAACTTTTCAAAGACTTTGCTGAGAACCGGTAAAACAGACACTGGCCTATAGTTGTTAGGTTCTTTAGTGTCACCACTTTTAAATAGTGGGATAACCTTACTATATTTCATTAGGTCAGGGAAAACACCGTCATCTATACATTTATTGAAAATCACAGCCAGATATGGCGCTACAGTTTGGATAAGTGACTTGCAAACCATTACCGATAAGCCCCAAAGATCCTCCGTTGATTTAGTCTTGATTTCTTTAAAAACTTTTATAATTTCTAGAGGATTCGTATATCGAAAACTAAAGTCGTATTGACATGATTCTATGTTGTTCTTAAGCAAAGTTACAGAGAGGTTTGCTGATGACTTTAAATGTTCAGTTGTTTTAATAGGAATACTAGTAAAAAAATTTTCAAACTCCTGGGCTACATCTACGTTTGATGTAATCTGTCCCCTTTCGGTATTTAAATTAAATTCTGAGTTTCTTAATCTTTTCCTACCGGTCTCGTTGTGTATAACTTTCCAAGTAGTTTTTATCTTATCATCAGACGATTTTATTTTATTACTAATATAAAGACGTTTCGCGACTCTGCATACTATTCTAAAGGTTTTTGAATAAGATGTTACATACTGGTGAAATTGGGGGTCATTTTTGTACGGTTTCATTCCATAAAGTTCAAAAAGTCTGTCCCTACTCTTACGAATACCTACAGTTGCCCAGTCGCTAAATACAAATTTGGTATGAATATCTTTATTTTTTATTGGCAAAATATTGTTAAATTCCTTGTTTAACATCTCAAAGAAATCATTGTAGAATTTATTCAGATTACTAGTATCAAATACTTTCATACATAATTTAGTAGCTAAAGAATTGCTCAATTTCTCCAGATTTTTAAACGTGATTTGTCTATATCTTATTTGAATTTTTAGGATAGGTAAATAAGAGCTATACGCAACCATTAGTCCACAGTGGTCGGATGGCAAGCTATTTATAATATGTTTTTCTTTGTAGTCACAATTACAGAAAACATTATCAATACAGGTGGCGGTAGAGGATGTTATCCTTGTTGGTTCTAAAAAACATTTTTTAAATTAAATGATCCAAATAAATTTAACAATTCCATACTACTAGTACTATTTTCTAATAAATTAATATTAAAATCACCACATATAATTACTGATTTGTGACTAGAACAAACCTTTCACATCCTCCATGACAGAATCAAATACTGTAAGATTCTGATAGTTAGGTGGCCTATACACACAGACAATAACATGTCTATCCAGCTCAACACAGGACAACTCAATGGTGTGTTCAACTGACAGTGCTACAATGTCTTTCCTTCCTTTTGATTTAATACTATTTTTACTAATATTAAGGACCCACCATGTAACATATGCTTTCTACTGAAATTACTAACTACATTATAATTATCTGAATTTAAAGATATTAGTTGGTCCTCCTTAAACCAAGTTCTCGTGACACAATAAACTATTTGACGAAGAAACTACCATTTGGTTTGCACATTGGCGCTCATATGTGAGCAGGTAGCGTCGCTAGAAGAGACTTTTTCAAACAATTACGTAGAAAGTAATTACACAAATGGTAATAATAGTTTATCGACTCAATGAATTAGGTGTTCATTAGCTCAATAGTGTTGTATTGTCTGTCCCCGCGCAGGCAGCGAGGCGGGCGGCGCGGCGCGCGTGGTGTCGCGTCCGCTGCACTACGCGGCGCTGGACCTGGAGCCGCGCCGCGCGCTGGCGGCCGCCCAGCAGCGCGCCTACACGCAGATCGACTTCATCCGCAGCGAGAAGCTGCACGTCGCCGACACGTAGGGCCCGCAGACATTACGGGCCGCGCGGGGCCGTAGCGATAGTGAATTCGGTTGCCGTTATTGATAAGCTGTGAATGTGTCAAATTAATGCGTCAGACTGAATCTTTTGTCGCGGTTTTGATTGGCTGGGACGATAAGTCGCATCTGTACCTTTTTTAAATAACCGACTTCATAAAAGAAGGAGGTTTCAGTTTTACTTGTGTGTGTTTTTACGCATAAGCTTTAATTTTCTTGTCCGACGAATGTGAGACCTCACCTATTTTCTTTTACAGTAAAAGTGTTCAACAAAACCTTTGTCAAAATTAGTGTTAGTTTATTTATTGGTTTTGCTAAGTTGGAGTTATCCCAGGTTCGACTTATCGCGTCCCCCAGATGGCACGCTGTGTAGCTGCAGTGTTGATGGTCGCGTACGATCGGCGTGCACGCCGCATTTATATGAGCCGTAGCCACACTGCTGTATCAGTTACTCTTTGATAACTTAAACTTATTTTTAAATGGTCTTCAAAGAAGACTATGTCTTAAAAACTCGTTAAACTGAGCAATTTAATTGTCTTTCTTGGAGAAAATGTTTAAATTCGGCTTTTAAATTCAGTTCTTGACTATCGTGAGTTATTTTACAGTAATAAAAATTAAGCAAAGATCAAAACATTCCGGTGTCACACTAGATTTGGATATTTGCTTACATTATTTATACTTTCTTCTTAAGACAATTTAACATTGTAATCTACCAATAAAAACCATGTACTTTAATATCAAAATAAGAATAACTGATACACGTTGTTGGGTACAAGTAATGAGATCACCGCCGCTTTATCATTCGTCGTCAGCCTGTACCTTAGAGGCAGTTCGGTAGTGTAATAAACGAAGCGATATCTTTCACTATTATTTTATAGGCCGGACTGGGACACGTATACTTTACACAAGTATATCAAGCTACCCCAAAACTGTAAAATACATTTTCAACTTTATGTCAAAGAAAATAAGGTTTAAAATGTATTAATGTGTAGCTAGATTTGCGCAGTATGACATGTTCTACGCCCGCCTGCAACTTGTATTAGACTCGGTGTCGCTTGCTTCTGTTACTATTTAATAGTACACATTATTTTGTTATTAATTTTATTCTTATTACATTTTTATTATTATTGTTATGAGACTCCAGTGATACGTTTGTATAGCAAACATATAAATATATGATATGACACTAAGAAATTATACTAAGTCTAACTCCAAAAGTTTTCACTAAATTAATTAATACATTATCATGTTATTTTATTGATTTGTAATTAAATATTTATTTGTTAGATCTTAGTGTATCTCTCTAGTTCAATACAATCGCGGATAAATCATTACGGGATAAAATGAAATGTAGAATATACGTGCACGGGAACGTTTGAGTGATGAGTTGTCGCGTTGGTCCGTGAAGGAGTTAAATTAAATATAATATTTGTAATTATTGTAAAGCCAGGTTGTGAGAGAGGCCTACCAATAGTTGGTACAATACACGATTTAGTTCCGATGACATACTACCTACTGTGTTCTTAGAATACTCTGTGCAATTTTAAAACATGATATAAATGTTATTTCTACAATGTTATTGTTTGTTATCTGCGTTATTGTTCCGTTCGTCATTATTATACACGTACAAAATATATAAAAAAACAAATACATTATATTTATTGATGTTGAACGCTAGACTAAACAACATAGACTGTTTTATTTTTTAATTAGTGAAGCTAGCGTTTACCTTTCCACCGATTTTAGTAATTAAATGAAATGATAAAATAGTTTTGTCATATATTTGATAGAGCAGTGTTTTTAAAATGAAATAATCTCGAACGGAACATTAGGTTTTGTATGTAATCGTATGTAGACGATTGCGTATCGAGCCAGCAATCAAGTTAGACAATGATATATAGAATAAAGTTCTTTGAACTTGCTGTTTACTATAAATAGTCAAAATTCATCTTTGGATTTTGCGTTTTTCTTCATCATATTGCTTATAATTGTTATGAATGTTAACTGTTACAGAAACAAGTGAATATTGAGAACGTATCCATATTAGAATTATGTTGAAATGTCATATTTCACAAAAAATATACAGGTACTGTTCTATAGTATTGTTTTGCACAATTACAATAAAGCACTAATTGATTATATTACTCATATTTACAAGTAAATTGCAAGTTCAATGAACAAAGTTCGTAAATTATGTGTTCAATACAAATCTGTTTTTATCTTATGACTACTGTTTATATTTGAAGCGAATATATAGGAATATTTTTAATCAAACATAAAGTTGTCTTATAAACACACACATAAGGTCGATATTACATAGTTATTTTTGTGAATAAACCATATTTAAGTCGTTCTTGTTATGAAGCTTCGCGATGTTTCCAACGGATTCAAGAATATGTACTTTGTTTATTTATGTATCAAAGTCAATGCTTAAATTATACGCCTCCAAATCATTAAAAGATTTCCATTTGTATTTAAAAGAGGTGAATAATTTTAGTGTTGATTTGTCTAAACAAAGATGGTAAAAAATTAATTATTTTGAAGTGTACAATATTGTTTTTTTAGAAAAATACTATCACTTATGAAGACTGTTAACTACAGCTCAACTTTTGGATAATATTCTATGAACAAACGAAGCTTCAGTAACAAGACAAGACAGCGAGATATCGTTGTACCCTAAATGAAATTGTATCGTAACTGACTACTCACAGACAGATGATCCTATCATAGTTGAATTTACAACGTTCCCGGTAGATAAGTGCTGTTATAACGACTGTATGTTGAGAACAGTATGAAGTCAATTTCATTATTGAGCAAAGCTAGTGGGGTTAAAATTATTATTTTGTCATTGAATTGAATCAATATCTTATTAATAAAATGGGTTCAATTGGGATGATGACAAGGTATGAAAATTATAATTAGTCTGTAAGTTAGGTAATGAAAAAATATTAGACACGCATTTTTTTATTTTGTCGTATAATAAAACATAACATAACATAACATCACGCCTTTTATCCTCGAAGGGGTAGGCAGTATAATAAAACAATACTTAGATAAAACGAATCAAAGTTTAGGAGTAGGGGCTAAAACGTCATTTCTACGTATAAAATGTACATAGAAGTGACGTCATGCGACATTTCAAATCAATATATCATCGAAAGTATTCGTTTCTGTAAGAAAATAAAAAATACGTGTCTAATGATTTAAAATAATCTACCAGACGGACATTAAAATAAAAATTTGTCATCTACCCTGTTTCAAGTCCATTGGCGTAACTAATGATCCTATTAGCTCAATAATTTTCTTTAACTTTTCTCATCATACAGCCGATCAAAATTAAGCGCCTCACAAAAGTATAAATTGAGATAAATACAGAATGTTCAACATTCCGACTTTAAACAATCGATTAGCCTACTGTGTTCAACCTCCTTAAGCCATAGCGTAGTAATAGACAAGCTTCCTTCGCCCGCGCTCGACTTAAAGTAATGGGACCTGTATAAACGTGACTGAGTCAACACCAAATTTTATAATAAAAAAAAAAAATTGTTATTTATTCCCGAGTAACTAAGCGAGCGGAAAGTCTCCGACAAACGTGAAACGTTAGACTTTTCCCTCTGAGGGCCTAGTGTCAGTTTGTTTTTAACGCGACCGACATTTATGACGTTCGGCGCTCTGATTGGCTTGCTAGAATTCGACCAACCTATCAGAGGGTTGAACGCGGCAACGTTTCGATTGCGTTAACATAAACATTAACTCGTAGGCCCTCTGATTGTACTGTAACGTTATAAGCTTTAAGTATGCCAGGTGAAATCAGCACAAGTTTCTGTTTAGTCTAATATTTTTATCTCGCTTTAGAATGTTTTGTTTTGTTCAATTTGGGAGGTTTCTTTATAACTATTGAAGGAAGAAATTACATGAATACAAGGTCCAGTTTTGTTAACTCAGTTAAATATTGTTATTAAAGAAGGCTCCCACATTAAGACGTTACTCCTAAAGCCTGAACGATATTAGTCCCCATTCATCGCTGTTATCAACGTTGTATTTAACTGATCGTGTAGTAGTATAGTACAATTTGGCAAGGCCACTGTTTTACATTTTTGTACCTATTTTAATATTTTTTAGAATGAAATACTCGCTCTTTGTTTGAGCGGATGTCTAAGCTGGTTGAGAGTTAAAAGCAAATTTTGCGAGAGTTTTTGTCACTTAGTAAATGTACTGATGATTTAATCTAAGTCATCCTAATGACTTTGTGGTTATGGCAATCTATATCACAATTAAACTTCCAAAATGTTGCCAGATCTAAAAAAAAACTACCAAATATTGCTTAGTTAACTTCGATACTTTTGTTCTCCATTATTAAACCATACTTTTTATTGATGATCCCCATTTAGACATATCTTCATTCGAACGCGATGTCTCAACCAGCTGTTTAGATAAGCCAATTTGCAGATTGCTAGTGCCACCTCGCAGTTACGTAGTACCATATTTAGATACATATTGTAACACTAATATATATATTGTATATTATTATACATTTACTATATTCCACTTAGTATAAGAAGTGTTGAGTTTAACATAGGTGTAAGGATAGACGGGTACAGACGATAGCGTTGTGTAGGACATTGGATAGAACCTCCTTTTATAATATGCCCGCAATAAGCAATCTTCCAAGGAATATTATTAGTTAATACTACTCACATAAATGTGTTTTTGGCGTGTTCGATCTGTTCAGGCAGGATGTTAGTCTAATTGCATTAATATGATGAAATCATATACCGTTTTTTGTATTTTTGATGAAATACTGCATGTGTTATATTTTGAAGTTAGTTCTACGTGTACAATAGACAGTTTTTAAAATAATGTTACATCCTGCCTGTACTCCCGAGCATGTCTCTTTTCCAGTAACTAAAAGCAAGGTCACAAAACAGGTTCAAGATAAATAGAAGCCAAGCATATTCTAAAAGGAGCTTTTGGCTACATTTACATTGGTGAGACTTGTAATATGTGACATCGAAAGCTAGTGTGAATGCGGCCTTATTTTAATATATTTATAAATAATTAAAAAAATATATACAACATAATTTACCAAACTCCGCGTGTTACGTCATGACAAGATGCGAGTTGTTTTTTTTTAAGAAATCTATACTAGTCCCATTGCAAGTTAAACAGAATTTTTGCATAAAAATGTTCCTGTAAACGGCGTAAAGGTTTTTATAAGGTTTAAATATAAGTTAAACTATTGTAACGTCTAGAACAGTTTGTATGATAGAGGTTTAGTACCTGGGATGAGTCGCCACGCTGCGCTGCGACCGCTTGCCGTGACGTCACGCCCGTCATGGCGCGATCACCACACGATGAGACAAATTCTCTTGTTTTGGAAATGGAAAAAATATAATTATATTTTTTTACAAATGGTGCTACCGATTTGTGTTTTAGTCGATGATAGCTTAGCCGCTCCTACTGCCATGTAGATATGTGAAGTATCGTTGCGGGCGCGTGAGACGCGCGCGCATATCACAATCTGTTAGATATAGACATCACCACGTCAGAAGTAGCTGTAGTCATAGCTTTTGTAACTTGCAACGTTGTTCGCGGCCTGCCCTTGGAGCGGCCTGGGTCCCTGCGGGGCCCGGGTCGTCCGCCACGCGGCCCGGGCCCCGGGCCCAGCCGGCCGCTACCAGTGAGTGCACTATGAAGTATCACAATGTCAATCGTTGATCGATGCGTGCCACTCGGTCGGCGTGTCCGCCGTTAAATTATATTAAAATATCTAAATCTAATTTCTTTGGTACATTAAAATTTTGTTTACTTTCATATTATTGTAAATAAAAAGAAAAATAAAAGCTTTGGATTTGCGCATTTGTTTATTTATTGTGTTTCCCTGTTTTAACATGAAGATTCGATGATATATCGATTGGACACGTCAGGTAGTCTGTTAAGAATAAAACGAAAAATTAAGAAATACTGTTTATTTAATTAATTATTTTACATAATAATTACATATTGATCACACAAAACGAATGCATAATTATTAACACAAACCCGCTCACTAAAACAGTGGCACAACACTATTAGTACAATCCAAACATAACATGTTTAACATTAGGTATCCCCCCTCCCCCATCTAACTACCTAATTTCACCAACAGGAACATTTTCTTGATATGAACAAGAATTTTTAACATGCAATTATTTATTAAACCTCCTGAGACCTTCCTACCAATAGATTAACCTACTCATTTTTTTTTTTCATTGCATTTTAGACTATATCAAAACAATAGGATAATCTAACAAAAGGAGTAGGCTGATCTGCTGGCCTCTGTATCTCTATACAATATTAAAAATATTATGCATTTTCACTTTTCAACATATTATGTATATGTAAGCCACTTAATTCCTGTATGATTTGGCACTGTCTTCAATGAAAATTGGATCTCAACAACATATGAATATGGATCAAATCTGCTCAACAAAGCTATAAATCTGATAAGTATGTTTCACAATTAACATTGCAATAATATATTTTGAAACAATTCAAACTGTTTTAGTGAGTTATCAAACTTCAACAAGTAAGTACAAATTATTATCAGTGGTAACAACTGCTATATAGACTTTATTACAGTCGCAATTGAGGCTTTTTTAGCAAGTGTAATCATTAACCAACAAATAAAAGGTATTGTGTTCCAATTCTATTGTAAAAACAACATAACAACGATTAAAATAGGGTGGAAAATCCAATGTAATGTCACAATTTTGAATAAAACATTATATTGATCAACATAGGATTTTCAATCTTAAGATCTAAATCTGAAGGTACAGTTTCTATTTGAAATCAATTCTATTATAAATAATTAGGTAATACGGTGGATTAGTTATATTAGTATTAAAAAAAAAAAATTGTGCTCTACACCTTTCTTTGAAAGAAAACCACAGATTATTAAATAAAATAGTAAATCATTATTATCATTAATATTCGTTATAGAACAAGTACAAAATGGAATTATTTACAGAGGTATGAGACCTCTTTAATCATTATTTCTACTTGTATACAAAATTTGTATGATATGATTACATTAGTTTTTTTTTTATATATGGATAAATATTGTTTATAATTACTGATGTTATCGCGCCACTACAGGTATAGAATTAGTCTTTTGAAATTTAAAGTTAGATTAACAGGACAAAATGCTATATGTATACACTAGCGCCAACTATTGAGAACTAAAAAGAACAGTAAACTAAAAAAATTAAAACAAATGTATTTGATAATAATCTCAGTATTATAAGACAGGTATCTGAACTAAAATATTATTAAAACTTAATTATTGAACTTATTTAAATCATTGATTGGTTGGGAAAGCAACATTCGAGTTTGAAAGCAGTCTGAAAATAACAAAAAAAAAGGAAATGCTTTCAAGTCCAGTTTTGTTGTGCATATATTTTTTTACCAATCAATAAAATCAAGGTATCAAGTAGATTATGGATTATATTATTAAAGCTAGCTATAGTGGGATTATATTGTTTGATGGCACGGGCTTTAAAGTTACGTAAGTACTACCAATTCTTTGTCAAATATTTCAATTAGAATAACATAATATAACAGTGAGTATGTTCACACACTTTCACCGAGGGCGGGTTTCAAATTGTTCATAAAATTATGTGACCAATAACAAACTTACTTGGGTGGCGACCGCCCATTCACAACAGTAGGGAGATCTTTCCAAGACTTACCTTTTTTCACATTCGTAACCTTTTTCCTAATTACTCTCTTAACAAGTACCTCTTCATTTGATAGTAATTTTCTCTTAGGCTTAACTTTAACCTCCTTTATAGTGAAGGAATCATCGAATATGTCCCCGCTTGAGTTGATACCACTGTTCTTGCTACTGTCACCTACTATTTCGCTGATTGGACTATCGAAGGACACGTGTCTGGAAGTATTCAGTCTCGGACTGTACTTATTCTTGTCAATCGAGGTCTGTGTGGCTATGTTGGTGTGGTTCTCCTTAGCGGGGGGCGTGGATGTCGGGTTTAACCTCGTCTTCTTAACTTTAACCAATACAGCTGGCTCTGATGATTTCCTTTTAACTTTTGTCTTTGTTTCTTTCACTTCTGGGGCCTTATTCTCTGTATCTGCATCTGTGACCTTGGGTTTTCTTCCTCGTTTCTTTGGCACATCTCCATTTTGTTTGGTAGCCTTCACAGGTGCCTCAGCCTCTTCATCAGAACCATCGCTGTCTACAGCAATAACTCTCTTTGTTCTACCTTTGCTTGGTGACTGAGTCTTACTAGGAGAGAATTCCAGAGTACTATTTCTAGTTTTGCCTTCAGTCTTGAGGTAGTCTTCGAACAATTTTCGACATTTCTTGTAATCTGGTACTTCTTTAGGCTTCATTGTGTTTATATATTCAAAGAATTTGATCAGTGCATCTGGAATGGAAATGTATAACTTTTATATTTGGACACAAAATTCCCCAACTTCAAAAGATATAATAAAATGTGAATGACAACTCACCAGGTACATTGCTAGCCATGCTCTTTATTTTAGTTCGAACATTCTTCATGAACTCTTCCTTCATGGCTTGCACTGTCTTTGGTTGCTTGAGGGACTTCTCCCAGGGCAGCTCTCCTACCAGCCACTGCAGCATATTGTAGCCAAGGATCTCCAGGTCTCCGCGCATTGTAGGCTCTGGAATATATAGACACATTTATATTATTCCTGACATTACAACTGAATGATTTGTTCTTTTGGTGACCCATGATAGTTGCCTTACTTATCCATTTTTGTCTAAAGTTCCATATTATTGGTTTAAAATGAATGTTTTTCAATGTATTCTTATTAATTTAAAATCAGAAGTTACATTTACCTCCCAAATGTGCATCTCTGCTTGTGTATTCAATGGTGCCATTGTGTGCACTCTTTGGGTCCGGGGTGAATGGCTGGTCCTCCTTCAGTCGCGTGGCTAGACCAAAGTCTACAAGATATACTTGGTTCTTAGCAGTTTTCTTTAGACCAAGTAGCATGTTGGCACCTTTGAGGTCCGCATGCACGTAGCCACGACTGTGTATGTACTCTAACACGTCAAGCTGAAATAATAAAACACATAGTTACAAACAAAAAAATAAATAAATATGTTATACAATCTTATTGTATTTTGTTTTCGTCGGGACGGTGCTCAATGCCCGTTTCCAAGGACAAAGAACATAAAAAATTGTTGAATTTTAAATACGTAATACATTAACATAAAGATACAACACTGGGTAGACAGATTATGTGTTTTATAATCCTTATTTAATGATGCACAGAATAAAAATAAATATAATACTCCAAAACCAGAAAATCTAAATGTAAAGCTTTAAAATTTAATAAACATTGAGGATAATAATAAAATGTAATCTTGATACCTAAAAATCACTGCATAGACAACACATGATTATTAAATGAAGCATACCTATACTTAAACAATATATTTAAATCTTTACCATCTGTAATCCTAATTGGAAGACTGTAGCTGGTGGGAACGACTTTCCGGCCTCGGTGAACAAACTCCACACATCTTTGCCAAAGCGCTCCATGACCAAGTATCTATAAGTGACTCCATTGCTTTCATGGGACCCCTTGCCGAAGTATGTTGGCATGCCTAAGCTTGTCAGCTTTCTGCTTTGCATGAACTTTGCAACTGAAATAATTGAAATGTTAAAATGCATGCAACAACATTAGCATTAATTTGTAAGATTAATATTAAAATATCTCTCTTGGTAATATTTTTATTGCATTGCATAAGTATGGGACAACACACTCCATCGTAGACCGCATCATCGCTTACCACCAAGAGAGATCGTGGTCAAACGTCGGCCCATCAAATATAGATTAAAAAAGCCATGTCTGTTATTTGACAAAGAATTTGTCACAACAAATTCTGTAACTACAGAACATTTAAGCACAACTTGAAAATTGAGTGGTGTTTCAGTTTTCAGGCACTAGAACTCTAGATGTGTAAAACCTAATCCTAACAATGATTATTATAATCATCATATCATATACCTAGTTAGAAACAATGGCTCACTGTAACCCTGTATTAATTTGGACACCACCCACAAGGTTGACAAACAACCACAATGATACAATCTTCGTAAAAATACAAATACATTATAATCTGATTTTCAAGGTAAAACATTCAGGTGTATGTAAAACAACACCTCCAATATTGATATAAGTGTTCCAGGCAATTTAGCACTTTATTGTATTCATTGCAGAATATTTGCATTTTTACTTTACAAATAGTTATAGAGAGGTCATTACACTACAAGATGTGTTTTGTTACAGGTAATACTTAATTTTATTGTAATGTAAAAGCAATATCTATCAACTTATTTATTTGTATACAATCTACGGCTAACAATTGCGTTAAATTAATATTTGCATTTAGAATGATAGCATATTTGCAACTAGATTAGTAGATGTACAAAAGTATTTCTGCCTGCGTCTGAAGATACGACAGCTCTATAACATAATGTAATAAATTAATATTTACATAAAATGGAAGCTAGCATTTATAAACTTTACCTAATTATGTTAACAATTGTATATAAACAACAATTTACCTCAAACAATTCAATGACTTTATTGAAGGGCTGTTATAAGTATAGGTTTAATAGTAACTTACTGTCATCTTTGTTGGCATTCCTGAGATAGAAATTAATTTCCACAAAAAGCGGTCCATTCTCATGAGGCTCCTATTGGAAAATACATTAAGATATCATTAGTTACTTGTTTCTTGGATAGGAATATTAGAAACTGATTGTTTGTTGGTTCACTTACAATTTTTATAGCGTAGGGGTAATCTGACCCTTTGGCTTTCAAAGTATGGTCGCAGGCAGAATATATTTCCCCAAATCCTCCTACACCAATAGACGGTCCTATCCGCCATTCCTTTTTGAAGAGAGTATCCTTAATAACTTCACCAGTAGGAATAGGAGCTGGCATTTTATAGCCAGCGGCTTTTTTCTTGGGTGCTCCCTTTTTCACGCGCCCAGCCATGACTTAAGATTTTAATTCTCACAAATAACAAAACGACATCTAATAACAATGTGGACGAATTGAATACAATTGAGTTTCGTTCGAATTATCTAAACAAATAATATTCAACAATTGAAAGCGACGCTACCGTTGGTCGTGACTTTGACTGTTGGTTGACAATTTGACAACCGATGGCATTACGTCGCCCGCCATTTTTTTATAGACTTTTTGAACTTTATGGTTTGCGCTCCAGTGAAATAATATTTGGATTCATAGCATTAAGCTATGAACTAAGAAGGTTCTCAATATTATCTATTGATGTCGATAGGGACTTCTCTAAAAAGACTGGAATTTTAATAAAAACGTTGCCCAGACAAAGATTTTCTCTTGTGGGTGGGTGCAAACAAACATATAAATTCACATACACATGACTTCCATACCCGAAACCATACAATTTGTCGAAAAAGTTGTTCCGTTCGGGAATCGAACCCGTTAGACATTGCGTGGCAGCCGGTTGCCCAGCCATTGCGCAAACTATGCAGTCAAACTTACTTAAGCCAATAAACTTTTTTTTGTTATGTTAACTCCCTTAAAACATTAACTTCTTAGAGACAAATTAAAGTTTAATTAAAATAAATTAAACTTTACTTGTCTTGTCTCTTGTCCTGATCAGAAAAACCTTGTTCGATCTGGATATCGAATATTAAAGTCATGGCTCGGTAGTCCTGCTCCTGCTGGTAACCACTTCGGGACATTCACTTAATACATAGGTACAGTTGAAAAATAAAATCAGTACCATCGGTACCTAGTGACAACAAATAATTAAGAAACACCTTTTGTATAAAAATATAACTTTATTGATAATATTTAATTTAAAATCAACGTGTAATATTATGTTAACATTTCTTTACAACATTTTCACTAGCCTTACAAAATAAGTGTTATATTTTATAAAACTATCTTTATAAATACACATTACAATATTAATATTTACACTTAAACTATTAAGAAAAATAACAATTAAAATAATTTAACTGGGGGTATTAATAAGTCTTGCAAATAAATAATTTAACAGATTAACGTAATATGGGCACAAACAAAAAAACTGTAAAAATGACAAACATGGTGGGTTCTCATAAAATAACTGCCGTTTACTGTAGAAGGTATCTATGTCAGTCTGATTGAAGTATAACCTGAAACAAACGTACAATAAATTAGGAGGAGAAGTCTCGTGTAACTTATTTAAACATAAGCACTTTCCACAGACAGATGCAAGCAGGCAAGTACAAAGTACCTAGAGTTTAGTTAGACTCTTGTTATGTTGTCATTATCATCCTGGAACTGAATCTCATTTTCATGTTTTTAGAGCAAAAAAAAGACTAATAATCCGTTGATTAGAAATTTTAGAACTTCTTAGAAAGTATAAGCCTTACCCTCGTGCTTAAAAATGCGGGTACCTTAACACTTTATTCAGATACTGTTCATTGGAGTCGGACTCAGTCTGATATTCAGTCCCTATTAATTGTTAAACTTACATTAAAACAAATCATCATCATCGCCGTACGCCGACATGGAGTACCAATCCCTCGCTACATCTTCATAGATGACCCTCTTGACCTCCTCGTCATACTGCGGATGTAGGATCCTGGGTGACCGGGCACGGAATTCTAGGGGTACATCATAGCACTTGCAGACGCAACAGGATGGGAACTTGAACCACTCGGCGAAGATACCACGACACTCGTTCCGAGGGTCGTATGCAAGGAGACGGTGGAGACGGAACTGTTGCTCGCATCTGGAAGTTAAAAGAAAATTTGATTTAGCTTGTGTGGTTACTAAAAGATAGTGGGGTAGATCTAGTCTAACTGCAGTACTCAGAGACATATAATGATTACTTATAAATTGGTACTACGTACCAATTTTGTTCTGAAAAAAATGCTAAAGACTGGGTTAAGTTCGAGTTCGTTTCCTGGAGGAAAGGTTATTCATTGAATATTTATAGTTTTAAAAAATACCAGTGACAAACGGCTCCTTCCTCGTAATTAACTTTATTACTAAAGAAAAGATAGTGCTGCATTTAATATGTGTAGTAACTAAGAAGTGACATGTCTAATAATTATAATATGAGTATACCTGCACCCCTCCCGACAGTACATCTGCTTGCGCTCATGCACGCATGTTTCCAGGTGTATGTACTGCTCGTAAGGGTACATGTTGAGCAGCGCCAGTTGCTCCCCGCGCGTGCTATTCGCCCAGAACGGCGCTGCTATCTGCTCTTTGGACTCGCAAGCGTTACTGGAAGTAAGCAAAAAAATGGCCCTTTACATAGGTAAAATGTTTCAAATATCTCTCGAATTTGTTTCGTAATTTTAAAACTATTGTATTAGTGAGTACTTTAGTATAAAAGAAACTTACGCTCCTCGTAGCTTGATAACAGATGGCCTCATTGACTCCTGGTGCTGCACTGGTTTTGGACGGAACTCCTCCTTTTCCGGCAACTTAGTGTCTATCCGATCGGTTATCTTGACCTTCTCATGCTCAGAGAACAGAAGTGTCGGTGGTAACGTCGAGGTGTCAACGTTCATTGGTCGCCAGTCCTTGCCCGCCTCAGTAGTCGAATCATATCCGTCAGTTGTGGTCTCTGTAGTGTTAATACTTTCAGTTGTAGTTGCGTTTTTGTCTGTACTATTCATTGTTTCACTAACTGCCTCAACCTTATTATTACCGGAAAACTTTGGGTATATGCTATTAGTCTCAATACTTTGTTTTATTACAGCCTCTAAAGTAATAACATCTGGCTCTAAGTTATTTATTTCTATATTTGCTATGCTTTCAAGTTTTGTTTTATATGATATACCTTTTTCATTTACCGTTTCGTTGCTCATCTCAGTTTTGGTGCCGTTGTCCGTGTTGCTCAGTTTTGTTTGATTTGTCTCTAGGGGTTTCACTTTGAGAGTGTCATTGTCTAGTTTTTTGTTCTTTTCGCTATTGATTGGTCTGAAGTGTGGTTTGTCTTTCATGGCACGTCCTTGACTCATTTTGGTGTACATCATCTTAGTTTTGATGATGTCCTCTGCGAAGTCTGCTGACTTTCCATCAAAGTCTTCGTCATCTTCGTCTTCTATGAAATTTTCAAGTTCTGCTTTAATAATAGATATCTGACGTTCCTCTCCGTACATTCTCCGCATAAGGCCCTGAAATGATTTGTGTTTTGATTAGTTTTGTAAACTTTAGGTACCTACTGATAAATGTTCTGCATGACATTGCAGCCAAAATGTAGATTTCTTACCTGGTTCTCTCTGACGAACCTCCTGATGGCATGCCAGGGATAGTTCTTCCCCGGTGTGGTGCAGTAGTTGTGCTTGGAGAGGTCACACGGTGCATCAGGTAACGTCCGGCCTCGGCTCGACCTGTTGGGCCGTGCACACGCCGATGCGTAGTCGAACCCGGCACATTGCCCTGCTGTCCATGTCGCCTGGAATTGTAGAATGAGGAAAATCATCATACTGAAAACAACAGGTAAATATAAAAGACCCAAAAGTCACACAATTCAACGGTATTACACCTATGAGAGAGTCAAAATAGAAAATTATATTCTTAAAACAAAATATCTATCAAACAGATTGATCGTAGAATTTAAAGAGTACATAGATTCGTAGTATCGTATGTAGGTGACGCACCTGTAGAGCGCAGTGAATGAAAGTTACGCCCACGGCCACTATTAGCATTGTTAATGGTATTGTTTAGATTTATGCATTTCCTTAATTATCTACTGTCTAAATGTGTATCATGTTTTAGTTTCTTTTTCCAAATACATCAGGTTTGACGGCGTGCAGAGACGTGACGTTCAAAAAGTGTTTTATAAGATTCTACTTATTATTTTCTGATCGAAGCGTTACTACCTAATTGGGAATTAACTGTTTCGTCTCAAAACTCTTTGAACATTTGTATCGTCTTACGAAAGTTAATTACCACATAAGGGACCTGTCGGAAACACAACCGTGCCCAACAACAGTAACATCACCCAACTTTTCATGGAACTTGTAACCAACGAAGATGGTCAGCTATCTGAGTCTCAGTGCTTGCTATTGGTGCTACTAGGCAATGGGTTAATAACCTCCCACTATTTTACTATTACAAACTTTTCACTCCGTACGATATGGCCATCGCCAGCGGCCACATAATATGACTCTTTATTAAAACCTATCAAACACTTTTATAGTGTAGTAAATTAATACTTACTCATGCGTTGGGACTACGTACCTTTTATTTTAGTGCTAGGTTCAAGCCTCACCTACATTTGAAATTATCTCTTAATTTAATCTACCACAGTACGACCATACTGCAATAGATAAGGAAAATATAAAAACAAATACAAATAAACTATTAAAACTTCAGATTAACAAATTAGAGAGAAGAATGGATTTAAATCTCATTGTATGATTAAAATAGGCTTCAAGATACTGAGTAAACTCACTAAAAAACTAAACAAAACTAAATCAAAAGTATAGTTACTCCTACGCCTGAAGAAATAACAAAAGAAAAACATACAAATTCGGTACTATAACGCAAAATTGTTGAGGCTTAAGAAAAATAAACAGGAGAGAGCGATAAACACATATTCGTGACCTGCCACACTTTAATGTCAATTGCGTGTTTGTTTTTTGTCCATCCGTCGATGGTAAGTGCACCTTTTTTGATCCGTCAACTAAAATCACTACTTATACTGACAAACGTATGTGGAGCGGAGCCGCGGGCGATCGTACATCGGTTAATGAGATCCTAGTCGTTTTCACTTTTGCACAGCGACTTTCTACTCTTAGCGACAAACTCACGTACCTACGCACTCTTTTAGGGGTGCTGTTGCGCAAGAAGGATTATCAACTGCTTCTAATAAGGATCGATGAGTAATAGAAGAAAGAGTTAAAAGAGAAAGTCTGGTAATTCATAGATAGGGTTACCGAACGGTAGTAAAGGATTTTCTTATAAGGTTGGGTTGGAGTTTAGGGACTGTGGGGACGTCGCGAAAACTCTAGTAAATGTGTGTATAATGTTGGCTCGGAATCGGTTTTGTATTAGCATAGACAACTTTCTCACTTATGACGTGAACGTTATTTGTTTCTTTAGGTATTACGTAACTTTTTTGTTTTGTTGTGAAAGACTAATAGAAAACACAGTGTGGAGTCGTAAGATGCATTCTTTCACCAAATGTTTCGAATCGAAAGCGGCTCATTCATTTCATGTGGGAGACATCTCATCTCATCCATCACAACATCCCTTTTTCGTATGTATGAACCATTAAAATTCTGACACAGCCTAATGTAACTTGTTAGCCTCGTTTGTGCCCAAAATGAAGATGTTTATGACAATGATCTTGCCCAAAAATTGCTACGTGTAGGCACGGTAGTACCGTTAACAAAACAAAGTGCTGTAGGGTAACCAACATTGGTTTAATATCGAATTGACACGTGCCACCGTATTTTTGGAAGTAGTAATAATAGTTATAATGAAATAGTTCCTTTGGGTCATAAAGAAGTAAGTAATACTGATATGGATAAAGCAAGCAAATTAACAAATGCTCGATAAATATCGAGCTTGATAACATTTCATCTTAAACAATTTTACGTCAGTCTACATCGCAGGGTATTAGACGCATTACTCATTACGATACCAGCAACATCCTAGCACATCGAACTTCAAAATAAAAGATCCTACGACCCAATTATTAGCGGAGAGGTTAAGAGATCATTACAGAAGTCACAACATTTAGAGTTAATACCGTAACAGTGAACAAGTTGCGACAGGTTACCGGAACATCGTCTATAAGGCCCGACCAGTTTTATATCTTGTTTATTTTTATGACTTGACGCGTGGTTTTGCGATCATAAATCTGTTAGCGTGGTGATGGTGGGACCAACTTATCTATTAGTACATTTCCATTTGAAAGTAGTAGATAGCCAATATAACCAATTGAGGAGAAAATATCTTCTTGCGCCATTCCTTACCCATATTTTCAGGGATTGACTCAATTAATAGATCTATATGTTTATCACTAGAAAGACCAAGGCAGTCAAATTGACCGCAAGGCAATTTCATTGTTAAATATTTTGCAAACTATGTTTTAGTTCCTTTTCATATTTTATGACTTTTCCTAATTTGCTATTCTTAGGCTTAATCTATATTTATAAAAAAATAAGTGTATGTTGTATTTGAGTTTCGATTACAAATACCTACTAAGACCGCGCACCGTCAATGTGACGGTATACATATAAAGACAGCGATAAGAATAGTGAACTACGATCTCTTCAAACTAAAGTGGGTACTTTTGTTTTTATTTATGTTGGGTTGAATTCTGACTAATTTATTAGTACCTAACTTGTTTAAATTTTATATTAGGCATTGGTTCCGTTCGCTGAGCAGTCATGTGGCAAGTGACGGCACAGAAAGGACTTTTGTTTCTCCAAACGCCAGTGAAGAGGGACGTCGTAGCTAGGGCCAAAACGTAACCTCTGACAACTTTTTCACATCACTAAATTCGGCTAAAACACTATTGGTCGAAGACTAGTATTGTTGGAACAATGCGGCGTGCAAGACGAGAAGTACCACTGATTTGTAGAGGTATTCATACTACACGATATAAAACCTTCATGATGAAAACCGTTACCGATACAACCCTTACTGTCTATCAAGAAAAACCTGGAACACATGTTATTATTTTGGGTACTCTGCACCTCAACATAAATATAAGTACTGACAAAAAAAGTTGCCTGAAACAATAGAATTTTACAATAGGTACAACAAAATTTAGTGTAGACATCAGCGATGAAATGGCACGCAAGTACACCGTAAGAGCTGGAAGTCGGGGATGGCCTGTCATGTATTTTACAATATATTTTATTTAGTAGCTATAAACTCGTGGATTCTTTATCAAAAAGTTACTAGGAATAAAAAATTCTCGTCATGATTTCATAATTCAACTACTGAGCGTACTACGTGAAGAGTATGTGAAAAAAATCCACTTCAACTATGACACAGCATCAAGAAACTAATTTTAAAACAAGTGTACCATCTAATAAAAACAATAAGAGGCGGTAATGTCAAATCAAAAGTAATTGTAAAAAAAATAAAACATGTGAAAACTGCATTATCTGTAAAAAACCTGTTTGTGGAAAATGTAGAAAACAGTTTAAAAACTATTAGATACTTGCTACAAATGTTACTCAATTTAATGCAAATACATTTATATTAATTTTATTTTATTTTAATGCAAAATATGCAATAATTTCATAAGTATACTGACTTAATCTCTAGTACCGTCAAATTGACCGCTGCGGTGTTTGAAGGTTATAGCATGAAGCCTGGCCCTTCTAGTGTTATCCATTGTAATCTTAATCGTAACATTGTCTTCGCACCTAATCTTTTACCTATCCATGTTTTTCCTTCTTGGCGCGTTGTCTAATCCTCGTTCGGAGAGATCAGAGTTTATCAGAACAGCTGAATCTCTATCATTCAGACACTGTATGCAATCACATAAACCAGTACGCAAGACAAAATTTGAGAATAAATCTAAAGTTAAACTAATATTTCCACTAAAACATTAATTTTCTTGGCATTACGACTAGTTAGTGCGTGTATCTATTATCGATTATAGTGTATTGGCTTTCCTCCAGCTCGTAAGGTGTACGTGACATGTCCTGAGAAAGATGCATCGCGTGAAACAGTTCCATTTGCATCCATAATGGCGACAGTTTCCTCAACACACTACAGAACAAAGGAAACTAGATCGAGACTGATGCACGACTGATTCTGATTATCTGAACACTTCTTCAGTAGGCAGGTTCTCTCATGGTGCTGGTAACTGTATGGTTGAGTAAAGTGACTTTAATGAATACCAAAATAGTTCAGTAACAACTGATTCACTTGCATTAGAAAATGTTTTATTTTAGATTGTGTTTGCCATTGGAAGTCGCGGCGAATTATAGAAGCCAATTAAAAATTAAATTTCAATAACTCTTCTTCATAAAATACAAAACATAAAGGCTTTAATTAGAAGTCTTAAAACGGTAGGTCTATTTAAATTCTGGATAGAAATATTTTTCACTTTGAAGTTAAATGATCGAATTAAAGGACGGTGGGCAAGAACTTCCTAGATTTCACAACACCAAAACTTTAGAAATAGCCAAACGGTTAGGGCCACCACTTACTTAAAATGCAAGGTGTTAGATATTATCAGTCGCAACAGCGGACAGACAGGCAGGCAAGTGAAAGTGACTGATTGTATTTGGGAGCAGGTTATGTGACGTCATCAGTCATGCGTGGCCATTCGTTATCTGATTGACTGAATTTGTGACGTCAATGTATTAATTGAATGTATACCATTGTGTCTGGAGTAAGTATGTAAAAGTATGGTTAGAACATTATAATAAGCTCCGAAATGTTTTGTTGGCTTTGATATGGAAATTATGGGACAATTATCACGGGTAAATGGGCAGTGATTATGAATCCAACCACGGTTAAGTAAGAAATTATTTGTAAGAATTCAAAGAAAGTATTTTTATGTACCATGTGACAGTTGAACAGTAATTTTGAAGCACTGTTCACACGTACTTAAATATCTTTATCGTATAGAATTTTCCTATAATTTGGTTTTAGAATATTATGGCAGAGGCAATCTGTATCTTCCTTATCCCCATGACATTATGTTAGAAAAATAATCTGAACGCCAATACTCTCAGGACTCAGACAGTGACAAAACAAGTGTTAAATCACAATAAAGCAAGTCTAAAAACATCTTCAAAACAAACAACAGCGCAGTATGTAAAATCATTCGAAGACAAAACGGGGTTATTACCCAACGTACGGTGAAATCAAGCTAGTCAAACTTTCCCCGTACATGTGGAGTGTAGTGGACCACCTGACGTAAATCACGATTTCCTCGGCGGACGCTTGTTATGCGCGTTATGTCACGGTAAACAATATTTAGAGCTGTGCTAATGTAAACTTGACATTGGATGGAATTTTGGCAATTTTCGGAATGTTCTGACTATGCCGTTATGCTGCGATTATGCGGATGCGGGTTAGATAGCGACTGTAAGCGGTTTGGCTAATTTTAATGGAGTTTGGTTTGTGGACTTTAGTGAAGCTTTTGATACGTCTTTGGTTATTTTTTTACATTTATCTATATAAATATACGGTATGCATGCCCCTCATGCTGCAGATTCGTTCCTTCAGTGGAATTAAAACCAAATATTTTCCCAGTAGTTAGTGTGACATGGATTTCTATAATAAAATTTTATCGATATACTTTAGTGCAATGTTTATTAAATACTGGATAGGTGAGGCACAGGTTATTCGTAGGTCGCATTCAAATTTTTGACAGTCGTATCAACCTTAAATAAAATGAATATTGGAGATAAATTTCTACTCAAAGGACATGAAATATTACTCCACATAATTATGTCCAGTGTCCTTACCAAACCAATAACCTAATAAATTGCGTCCTACTTTAATGATATTACTAAGAAACAATCAAAGTTATTTGCATTGCAATGGTGCCGCGGTTTTTATAGGCAGTGCAGTCACAGCTTGAATTTTAAAACTCCGAAATCGTCAGTCCTCGTTTTATACTGTAAGATTTATTAATTTAACGAGTAGAATTTATTTAACTGTAGAAGACATTAAATTAATTCGAGCTTCGATAATGGACTAGATGTTGTCGTAGGCCATATTATAGATAAGATAATATTAATCAATTCCAGAAATATAGCATATTTTGTAGCTTCATGGTCATTAATTAGTGTTACAAAAGATTTCTGAATACTTTGTTCTTATGACAAAAAGGTGATATCAGTCAAACGCTTCACTAAAATCAGATAAGTTATTCTTCATTATACGATAGTTAGACAAGCAACCATAAAACTAGATAGTGGCCCCACATAATATCATAACTTGAACAAGTTAAACCCAGTCAGCTTGTAAACTAGGAAAGTAGAATAGATCCATCAAATACACAAACGTGTGAGACATTCAAAGAAGTTACATTTACTAGTATTTATAATGATTACAACGGGGAAGAATTTAAATTAGAGTCTTTCGTTTATTTTTAAAATAAATTCGCAAATAACTCATACAGTTCTGTACTCTACATAATAACTAAAAATGTTTCTTAACTTAAATGTAATTTTTGTCCAATTAATCAGTTAACATGATCGTTACTGAGATACCGGAGTCTGTTCCACGGCAAGTAATTATGAGGCTTTGCTCTTTGGAGCCAGGCGAGTGTGGCAAGGTTGTTGCTGTTAGTGTGAATAAAATTATTCATATTTTTGGAGATGGAAGACTTTATGTAGCTATTAATTTGAAAACAATTTGAGATCAGGACTTTTTTCTAATTCTGTATCCTTAACTGCCTTGGCCATATTTGAACTTCTTTCGTTGATATATTTATACAGCATGGTTCATAAAGTACGGTTAGCAGCCCTACACGGTACGGTTTGTGTGAAAAGCAATTAAAGTGGGTGAGGCACCCGGCCTGCTTCCCACGCGGCACTGCTCTTGTTGACGGTACCGCTCGTCCTGATTCGCTTGCCTTTACACTAGTTTTTACAAACACTCACCATTTAGAACTTTAAAGGAAGCTTTCAAATATTTTCCTGTTAGACGTAAAGATTTTGGGGTTTTTGAGAAGTCTACACTTAATTTAAAGTTTTATGAGCCATAAATTATAGGTTCTCTAGAAGTTGTCTTTCCAAAATACTGACGTTTTTATTTAGCATAATTTCCCATTATATCGAGAGACCATTGTTTATTTTGGTTTCATGATTGTCAATTAATCGTTTAGCCTTTTTGTCAATAACCCTTACACCTAGCTAATGTATTTAATCGATATATGTATGTTCATTATCATGTGCAGCTGTCGTAGCTACATCTAGCATCCTTTCATGAGGATCCTCGTTGTTTAGAGACACCGGTCAAAGTTATTCAGCTCATTTCACAATACACCAATAGTTAATTGTTTAACTCATTACCAACCTACTTACGTGTGGTTACCGGTGGTTTGACAACAATTGTTTGTCTCTGCGGTAGGTTCACTAACCTCCAGTTCTTTGTAAATGTTTTATTTAAACTGTTCCAACTGTTACCTATCTGTAATTATATTTTTCTTAAGTGTATTTACTATAAATATTTACGTTTTATTTTTTGCACACTCATATTCATTATAATATTAGGGAGATTCAATAGATTCTTAATTTCGCAATAATGAATATTCATGTCGGAAATCTCTATTGGCTCTCATGCCACCCCGTGGTGTAAGTACATTCGCTTTACATTGTATTCAAATGGATCAGATACAATTCCTTAATGACTTTTCAATGATATCATCAAATGCGATGATTTTTTACTCAGTAACAGTTGTGTCTAGCCAATTCTGTAGATGCCCCCGTTTTGAAGAGTCGTACAATTTTTGCGCGCTAAAACACGTTCTGTCAATACTATCGATAGCCATTATTTAGACGATTGGTACAATGGACAATTGAGTCTTTCTATACATTTAGAGTAATTGGCAAATGTTTTATCTAAGAATTCCGCGAAGATCTTATTAAGACTTAAATGAACCACTCCAGTTCCGAACCAACAAACGTACCACCATAATCTTCTTGTAACGTAACCTTATATTAATCACAAGTAGCATCCATTTGCAAAGAGAGAGCACCCTCCATTAACACTTTTAACGTAATTAGCACTCACCACAAACAGAAAGGCGATAGCAAACCGCATTTCGCAGCCTAACGAACTTTCACTGCGTACGCGCTTACAAGCATCGTGGAGACGAGCGGCCGCCACCACGGTTGCTCACCGACTAACTTTCCCATCGCCGATCTCAAGGACTGCATCTGTTGCACTTTTCGATGTCAAGCATGGTCCTTGAAAGGTTGCTGGTGCACTTTTATGGGTTTTATGAGCGATTTCCGAGGAAGCGCCAGCGCCGCCGCCGTGTACCGCCTTGAACGTGCTCTGAATTGACAGCAGACCAGTCGGCCAGCTAATGAGAGTGGCCCTTGGACTTTTAAATTGAGCTCAGCTGATATAGCGGCAAACAGTATTATAGGTTTTGATGGACTTTATGTTGGTTTAACGGTAAATAAGATGGTTACAGTACGGATTAGTTCGCCAAACTTTTTTAATGATTAATTTTATTGTTCACGTCAGATTTTTATTCTTGTTGTGCGTCTATTATTCGTGTTGATTTATTAGTTTGGACTAAGTATGTTTTATGTGGTAACCTATAAATTGTACTTAACATTTTTTTTATTATTTGAAACGATCCATTAATATTGCTAACTTATTTTAATTTAAATCTTATTTGTACGTCTGCAATCAAAATGAAACCGACATCTTACTTTGCTATCAATCAATTTCTAAACTCATATAAACAGTGTTGCATTAAAGAATTCGTAGCGACCAATCATCAATCATTATAATTTCTGTTATTTCACGGTATTAGATACAGAGTAGCATCGCGTTACATTGCAAATTCACACGATAGAAAAATTAGGTTTCGTTTGCTGCCGAGAAAGAGTGTGTGGTATTGAGTGGGTCAGTCGAGTAATCGTTTGCCAGCCACTGTCTGTTACCTCTCTCTGTCTGGCAGCCCACTTTCCGATATGAGTGAGAGGGACAGAGGAGGAGCGCGTGCGCCGCACCGTTATCCCGCGACGATATCTTGAATGAAGATGGTATTTTCTCCCGCGCCAAAACAAAGGCGCCCAAGTCTTGCCTTTAAAAACGAAAGGTGCACTAATTGAGTTAATTGAATGCGTTTAATTTATGTCGAGCTCGCTCATTATGCTGCGGGTGGCCATTTTAATTGTGTACTTAATTGCTGTAACAATATTTTTTGTTGGCTCTACTGTTTGTTGTATTTCGGTGTTCGGTTTTTTAGTAAAACGTGTCTAAAACGGTATCCGTACGTACTGTACCGCCTACCGTGGTCTGGAACGTCTACGGCTAATGAATAAAACGCTCGTGTACCGCATATTTAGACGGTAATTAAGCATTACTTTCCTAGAGATTAGCTGGTTTTAATGTTTTTACCAGACCTAGGTAAACTTTCATTTAGGAGTATACAGATCTCCTTATGCTGGTCCTCATCCTCATAAACATCTGAATGTGGTACTAATAACTCGTTATTGCTTCATGTATTCTCCACTCAACTTTGGATATTATTAATTTTTTAATAATATTTCATGAAACGTGCGTTTAACACTATCTGAAAAGTCATTTAATTTTGCCTTCATCCTAGAATATACCTACTTACAATTAGACGTACACACGGCCACACATCAATCTATACAAAACCAGTGTATCCTGGTGTCGCGTCGCATCATCTTTCCGCACATTTAACGTTCAGTTTATACTGGTTATGTAAAGCTCGATGTGTAGCCGATCAAGTATCACGGATAGGTTACATATTGGCTCTCAATCAATACGTCAGTCTGCGGTGACCATAAATCCATTGGTGTTGTCGTTGGGAATATTAACTCCGCAGTAATTCCTGGGTTATCTAGTGTGACCCATAAATATAGCAAACTGTCACCTGTACAAGGGAGACTTGAGAAGCGTAATCTATACCTTCAATGTGGTGTGGACTAATAATATGAGGTGCTACAGCGCTCATGTAAGCTTGTGGTACTAAGAAATACATTAAATAAACACCCTAGTACTGGTGTCAAAGAGAATTACAAGAGTGTCTTTTTAGTTACATATTTTCAGTTTCGAAGCGAAACCTGACGCAAGCATGATCTGAACTGGGATCTTCCAAATCACCTTGTTGACACCAGCGATAGCAGTCACCATTGTTTTTTTTTATGGGTAAACTAGTGGACGGATCATGGTAAGCAATCGGCGTCCATGGATACCTGAAACACCAAAGGCTTTGCAAATGCGTTACCGGCCTTTTGGGAATTAGGAATTTGATGGATGTCAGGGAGTGGGGAGATTGGGTAAGGGTTACAGTTGAGCCTCCGGTAACCTCACCTCGGTTTTCACGTCGATTTTCTGTGAGGTCGTGGTATCACTGCGGTCGAGCCGGCCCATTCGTGCCGAAGTATAGCTCTCCCGAACTTAAGATTTATGCCAATAGCCAAACTTGTACTAGTAACGATTAATTAAACTATTTTGAAACTCTGAATCACAAAGCACATGAAAGTAAAATGTGTCTCCGTAAATAAAGGTTATAATATAAGCCTTCTAAGTATTCTGTGCTACATATCAGTTATAATTAATTGATTAAACAGTCAACACAAATGAGCGTCTGGCCGATGTCTGAATTCAAATGTAAACAGACCTACTTTCATTAGTAGCGACTTCTATTACCTCAGTGGCCTACGCACATCACTAGATACATTCAATACTTCTAGTAATGAACTTTCGATACTTGTATCAATATTACCGCCTAAGGCTAAGTTAATGAGGTTAGATAAATTGCTTTTGAACATAGTTTCGTCGCGACTAACTAAAAATTACGAGTTACTCTCGTAAATATACTGAGAAAAGCTCTACTAGTCTCGATTCATAGAAGGACTCTTCCTCATTAACAGAGTGCGCGGTCGCGGTGATGTCGCGCAACCTACTGATAGAGCTTCCCTCAGTATATTTACGTGAGTACTTCGTATTTTTTAGTTAATTCACGATAGATATTTCTCGTGACTATTTCTCTGATTGATTGGTTACAAGTGTGATTTTAAATATATGATTCTAGTTTTAGTCTTGGTTAGGGTTTCGATTGTGGTCATGGTGGCCCGGAGGTTTAAGACGCCCGCTTTTCATGCATGAGGGTGCGGGTTCGAAACCTACCAACGGCAAGTACCAATGTGACTTTTTTCAGAGTTATATGTACTTTCTAAGATTATCTAGACACCACTGACAAACGGTGAAGGAGAACATCGGGAGGAAACCTGAGGAAAAGTTTGTAATCGCCAACCCGCATTGAGCAAGCGTGGTGATTAATGCTCAAACCTCCTCCGTGTGGGAAGAGGCTTTGCTCAGCAGTAGGCATTTATAGGCTGTTGTTGATGAGGTTTCGATTGGGTTTCAGATTTCGATATCTCATTAGTTTAAGATGATCCTTAGTTTTTTGGCTTTTGTGAAGTATTGGACATACACGGAGGGCGATGATGATGATAAGTCACCCTGTGTTTAAATAGAGTATTTCTTCATTGTGTACCTTACCTGATGAATGTAATTGACCAAGTTATAGCTAATGCTAAAAATCAACATAAAATTCTAGACTTCACCTTCTTTCATTAAACAATCAACGGTTTGATGTTAATTAATAAATAATCAAACTTCATAGAAAGTCGCAGTGTACGCACAGTCTGGTACAATGCTAATAACATCGGCATACACAACAATTGCTGACCAACAGCCCCTAATAATCGATGTAGGTGAAGAACAAACACTGTAATAACAAAATATTTAACTTGAGTTAATGTCTAGCAAATATCTAAGGAATATTTATCATAAGTCTGTTGAAACAACTGTTAAGAAATGATCATCTTAACACATTTTAACCTATTTTAGATTGAGTGTATGATGTGCAAATATTGTACGCTTTTGAAGAGATACTGGGGGATCTCAAACTTTTATAGTTTTTTTATATAGAGGTATTTGACGGGCCGATATCTGACCACTATCTCGCCTGGTGGTAAGCGATGATGCGGTGTACGATGGAGCACGTCGCCCCATATGCAACCTATTCACTCGGGCCTTGAAGACACCCAGGTTATACTCTTCAGGAAATACAGACTCTGGCAAAGAATTCCAATCCTTAGCAGTACGTACAAGGAAGTTTGAATGCAGTTTCTTTTTAATTATTGTTTTCTTTTTTTTTTTAAGTGATACAAATTTTGTAATAGTTACGTAATGCTGCAGCTGAAATAATGAATGAAAGGAACGAGAAGATCTAATACGTTTTGGATGAAGGAAGAGTTTTGACACGTTTATATTATTTTATTTTATTTTACCTTATTTCTTGTTTGATATGAACTTTAGGATCATCAGTACCATCATCATCATCATCATCATCATCATCACGATAAGATGTCCACTGCTAAAAACCATTCCTTATACCTTCCGTACCGCCGATTCGGAGTCGCGGAGAACCTAACGGGTAACCGGGGCTCCGGCTCGACGTGCAGGAGAAGGAACGGGGTGGTTTTTAGTCAGTAAGAGTCTGACACTCCCTCCTGCCTCACCCAAGCGGGTGCAGTCATTCGATGATTTTCCCCCCTCAAAAAAAAAAATACCTTTCGTACCAGCTGGTTGGAACTTTGAAAGCGAACTGCAATCAGCGGCTGCGGCTCCTCAATTAGATCGTCTGTGACATTATGCTTGGTATTCATTTGCATCCATCATTAATCCTGATGAGAGAAACAAATTTCCACACAGTTGGAAACCACTGACGTCATGGAGAGATTAGCGATTAGGTACTTAAGTGTTTAGTGTCAGATCGCTGTTTGACGATGTCATTTGCCGTGACGACGAGCTTACTCAAACATTGTGGTGTTGGTACTAATTAGTTTTGCTTTGTTATTTATAATACCTTCTTTTCCGCTGTCTAGAAATTGTAAGTGAAATAATATTTGGCTTTGGTTTGACGTTTAGTTTCGGTCATGTCACTAAAAGGTACATAAATTGAGGATGTACATAATTTTTGTATTGATTTCGAATATCGACTTTTAGTTTCTGTGTCGTTTTGTATTAGTAGCAATTCACGGAATGCATTTTAGCTTCCGAAGTTGAATGTGGCGACGTGTGTTGAAATTAAAATATTAATGATTCATAGGCTTGGAATGTTTAAGAGGCGATTGTCACGTTTATTC